TTGTCTTTCCGATTTCTTCTTGGGGAAAAAGACATCGATAGCTCATTGGTAGAGCGTTCGGCCGGTGAGCGAGAGTTAAGCGAGAGGCTTTGAATCCTGGCAGCGACCATGATCCAGAATCCAATGATCCAGAATCCAATGATCCAGAATCCAATGATCCAGAATCCAATGATCCAGAATCCAATGATCCAGATCCAATGATCCAGATCCAATGATCTAGATCCAATGATCTAGATCCAATGATCCAGATCCAATGATCCAGATCCAATGATCCAGATCCAATGATCCAGATCCAATGATCCAGATCCAATGATCCAGATCCAATGATCCAGATCCAATGATCCAACCCATAAAAGGACCAACTGGGTAATTAATCCGGGATCAGTTGGGTAGCTAAGCAAGTAACTGAACTAGATCAACTAGACTAAGCCAATTGGGTAACTAAACCCGCTTGTTGAGCAACTGAACCGAACCAATTTAGCAATTGAACCGAACCAGTTGAGCAGCTAAATTGTTGGGCAGCTGAGCCTGCTTGTTAGGCAGCTGAGCCTGCTTGTTAGACAGCTGAGTCTGCTTGTTAGGCAGCTGAGTCTGCTTGTTAGGCAGCTGAGCCTGCTTGTTGGGCAGCTGAGCCTGCTTGTTAGGCAGCTGAACCGGACCAATTTAGCATTGAACTGGCCCAGTCGAGTAACTAAACTGAACCTAAAGCTTCCCAAATCAAGACTCAAGTCGATTTCCTCAATCCACTGCAATTCCAGAACACTCAAACCGGTCAATCACTTTCCTTCAAAGACGCCGTCGATGTCGGTGTGCTTATTCCGAACGCTGAGCGTGTCGTCGATTTATCCACCCGTGACTCATTCATGTTATCCGATGAGAAAGCAAAAGACATTGTTGATTCGGCACTTCTCGATTTGTTGACGAAACCCGTTGGAATCCGGGATGGTGGCTCGAATCTGTCGGTGATTCGTGGAGTCTCTCGTGGTTTAATCGATCCATCGAAGGCTCTTTTCTTCAACAAGAACACCAAACAGGAGTACTCGGTGGCACAGGTGAGGAAATTTGAATTTAAACTCAAGCCACAGTAAGGCTAACGGGGTCAATTTGAGTCACAGTAAGCCTAACTGTACTAGGCTAATTTGAATTTGAAAGAAAAATGGTTAGTTAGGTCTGTGAATGAGTTGTGAAGGAATTCTTGTACTTTTTGACAATAGTTTGCATATTTTAATGATTGGACATTCTTATCTGGAACTCACAACGGTTAGCTAACAGTAAAATCATTAGATTTAGAGGAAACTGATGACTGGTAATACTGTGGATAATTTTTCAAGGGATTACTGTACTTTTCGACAATAGTTTGCCTATTTTAACGATTGGATATTCTTATCTGGAACTCACAACGGCTAGCTATTAGTAAAATAGTGAGCTTTAGAGGAAATAGGCAAATTATAATACTGTGAATGAGTTTCCAAGGGATTACTGTACTTTTCGACAATAGTTTACATATTTTAATGATTGGATATTCCTATCTGGAACTCACAACGGCTAGCTATTAGTAAAATAGTGAGCTTTAGAGGAAATAGGCAAATTATAATACTGTGAATGAGTTTCCAAGGGATTACTGTACTTTTCGACAATAGTTTACATATTTTAATGATTGGATATTCTTATCTGGAACGCACAATGGCTAGCTATCAATCCCAATTCAGGCATATCAACACGGCCTTGTCACTCTGCGTGGCGCTCTCCAATTATTGGGAATGTTCGATATTCATCCAACACTCGTCGCCCCAGTGAAGAGAGTCGACAAAAAGAAGAGAATCTCTCGACCAGGACAACCACAATTTGAGCTAGCCGCTGATCAGGTATGCTACAGTATCTAAGCGACAGGTCATTGCGACAGTATCTTAGCGACAGATCATTACGACAGATCTAAACGACAGATCTAAACGATGATTAGTACAGTAATCGATTCAGGTGAAAGTCACCCTCGAAGAAGCTATGAAACAAGGCTTGATCAACTCGGGAACCCAACGATTCAGACAAGGAGATATCGATATTTCGTTACAAGATGCTTTGACACAAGTTGGTTTTGTCTAAAGGAAATCCTGGTTTTGTTTTTGTTTTGTTTTGTTTTCTTGTTGGATATTCTCAAGCCTAACCCTTTAAAACTTTAACTTTTTGTCCAACTTTAAAACCGGATCCAGTATTACAGGGAATTGTAGCTCTTTACTGTATCTTTAGCTCTGATTTCTGATTGTTTAGCTAGCTCTTGACTAGAGCTTGGCTCTAGAGCTTGTCTCTAGATCTTGACTCTAGATCTTGACTAGATCTTGACTCTAGCCTTGATTCTAGATCTTGACTAGCTCTTGACTCTAGCTCTTGACTCTAGATCTTGACTCTAGCTCTTGACTCTAGATCTTGACTCTAGCTCTTGACTCTAGCTCTTGACTCTAGCTCTTGTCTCTAGATCTTGACTAGCTCTTGCCTAGCTCTTGTCTCTAGCTCTTGACTAGCTCTGACTCCTTATTGTTTACTATTCATTTTAGGGACTTATCGACCCAGCCTCCGAATGGATTGTGCCAGCAAAACAGCACGGAGCCGGCCCAACAATCGAAGAGAAAACAACGGAAAGTGTCACGGAAACTGGCCAGCATTTGGCACCAAAGGTAGACTCAAATTATCGTTAATATCTATAGATTAGATACCCAGCTTAACCTATAGATTAGCTGAATATCTTTATTAGTTAAGCTGAATATCTTTATCAACTTCATCCTTTAGGTCTACCCCGACAAAAACGTCGAAGAATCGGTGACTACAGTGAAACGCGTGCGCACAACGGAGACAACGGCCCTAGGTGGACCTGGGGGTGTATCGGTATGCAAATCCATTCTAAAACCTATCAAAAACTATCGTATCTTGTCACTTTTCACATTTCAACTTCTATCGATCGACTTTCAGGTCTATCGAGCAATCACTGGCGCCAAGGGAACACTGGAAGTACCCGCATCTGGATATCACTTGTACGAGGCGGAGAGGAAAGGAATTGTTGATTTGACAACCGGACAAATTACACCACCAGGCGTTGAGCAGAAATTGTCATTTAAAGAGGGAATCGAGTTGGGAATCATCGATGAGAGATCGATTCTTGTCAGGTAAACGATTCATCAGATGACCGTTATGATCGACTGGCTAAAGCCGTCATGATCGACTGGCTAAGAGCCTTGTATCTTGGTCGGGAGCCGGGAGGTCAAGAGTTAAATGTAGGCTAGCTTGTTGCTAGCTCGACTAGCTTGTTGCCAACTCGGCTAGCTTGTTGCCAGCTCAGCTAGCTTATTGCCAACTCGGCTAGCTTGCTGCCAACTCGGCTAGCTCCTACATTTAGCGGATGTACTTATGTATTGTTTGTACAACATTCCTGTGAATGTCTCCTTCATAACGGTAAACATTTTAGAGATCGAAGCGGTCGAATGGTGAATGTGAAAGAGGCGCTAGAGAACGGGACAATGGACAAGAATGGAAATGTGAACGGGAGAAATCTCGAGAAATTGATCGATGAGAAGAGCATCGTGATCGAAGCCGAAGCACTTGTTCCATTGAATGAGGGAAATAAGATCATTCAGGTAATGTAATGGTTGCAATGATTGTAATGATTGTAATGGTTGTAATGGTTGTAGTAGTGTACTGTAGTCAATGTAAAGACGTACAAGGTGTACTGTAACCAATTCCAAAAGCCTGTTTCTAGTTCTCCTCTCAATCCGGTCCAGTGATGGCTTTCCGTCCAGTTGGACATCCAGTGGTTGAAGAAACCGAACAAGCGTGGTCCTTCGATTCACAAAAGGGAGAGCTCGTCGATCATATCTCTGGGCAAAGGCTCACACTTGAGGTTGGTTCAAAAAGGATTGATTTAGAACTGATTTAGAACTGATTTAGCTATTAGATCTTAAAATCAAGGCTGTTTTTTTAGCCAAAGCCAGCCAAAACTAGCCAAAACTAGCTAAAGCCAGTCAAAGCTAGCTAAAGCCAGTCAAAGCTAGCCAAAACTAGTCAAAGCCAGTCAAAACTAGTCAAAGCTAGCTAAAGCCAGTCAAAGCCAGTCAAAGCCAGTCAAAGCTAGCCAAAGCTAGCCAAAGCCAGTCAAAACTAGTCTAAGCCAGCCAAATCCAGTCAAATCCAGTCAAACCCTTCATAATCCTTTTCCATTCCAGGCGGCTGTCGCCTCCGGAAAGTTGAGTGCCGACGATTTGAAAGTGCGAGACGCGTTGACCGGCCGAGAAATGTCCTTTGAAGAGGCGGAGAAATGGGGAATTATCGATAGCAGAAGTGGATATTATATGGATAAGAATACCGGTCATCGATTGACATTCACCGAGGCTGCACAACAGCATCGAATCTATCCAACTGGCGGTGTGCCGGACAATGCGGCCGACGCGCTCCACACGACGGTCAAAGTTCACACGCGAACGGCTGTCGCCAAAAAGGAGGCTTTGTCTGGTGGACAGAGTGCAATCCAGGGTGGATCGTCGTTCAATCAAGCGATTGGATGGTACGATGTGAATACAGGAACATTCACTCATCCGGAGACACAGAAACAACTCACACTGAAGGTAAGATTGGTGTGCTACGTGCTGTCAACGTTCTTCGTGAACGTATCCCTTCTGGCACAAAGTTGAGTGCATCAGAAGGGACGCGTTTAGGAGTGCACTAGATAAACAGCTGTAACTAGACACTAGACAAACAGATTACTATCTCAATTTTGCAGGAAGCAATCGTCAAGGGACTCTTCAATCCCTACGATATCACGGTGAGCGATCGTCGCCGAAACAAGGAGATCAATCTGTTGGAAGCAATGGATGAGGGAATTGTTGATGACACGGCTGGAACGGTCACTGATACAGCATCTGGAAGAAAGATCAATCTTAGAGATGCCCTCAATCAGGGAATCCTCAAGGTTTGTGATGGGAAAGGGTCAGAATTGTGAGGTGCTGTAGGTGCTGGAGTTCTGTAGTCATTGTGGGATCTTGTAGGTATTGTTCTGTAGCCATTGTGAGGTGCTGTAGGTGCTGGAGTTCTGTAGTCATTATGGAATATTGTAATTGTCTTATTATCTCATTGTCTTCTTGTCTTCTAGTACTTGCTTATACTCTAGTCTAGTCCTGCAATGTACTTTGAACAAGCCTACTGTAGCCAACAATGCCTACAACTACGCATTCAACCTGATTACGCTTTTCTAGTACTTTTCCTAAGCCTAAGCCTAAGCCTAAGCCTAAGCCTAAGCCTAATCCTAAGCCTAAGTCTAAGTCTAATCCTAAGCCTAAGCTTTAGCCACCTTTTAAGCCACCAAAGCCCCAATTTCCAGGGCAAATCCGTCGCCGACATTGTCGAGCGAGATTTCACCGGAAGAGCTGAGGCTCACGGATCTCGTGAACCGCCACCAATCGCCCATCATCAATCCCATCATCACTCAATCACCCCCGCCTCTTTCCCACAACCAACAAGACCGACATCGGGAGGCCAACGAATCGTCGAACAAGTGAGTGTTTCGATCGAATTTTGCAACTAAACCTTGAAACTTTAGTCACTTCACTATACGGATTTTTCTCCTAGCGGAGGATCGGTGAGTTCCCGTTATTTATTAATTTATTTAAATCACACAAAATTTCAAAACAAAAACAAAAAGTACTACTTAAGAGGCAAGCAATTCGTATTTAATTTCCCCAATTTTCCGGTGGCCCTTCGCGAGCACAAACAAAAGCCCGCCGGTGGTGAGGGAAGAACGGAGATGATGGATTTGGGTGGAGGAAATCAGGTGAGGGAATTGGAATCTGGTGATGGCTATAATCCTGCGCCATCCTGTATAAACCATAGAGCCTTAAAACAAATGATTTTTATTTTTTAGGTGATGGTGAAAGTGGTTCGTGATGAGCATGGAATTGAAAAGGGTCAATATGTTGATCCGAACACCGGCATGAAGTTCACCATTCAAATGCACGGCGATCCCTTCGTCACCGAGACAAAAACGACTGTCAAGAGCACGTCACAGGTGAGGATTTCAAGAGTTTCAAGAGGTTCAAGAGATTCAAGAGGTTCAAGAGATTCAAGAGGTTTAAGATGTTTAAGAAGTTAAAAAGTTGCCGTAGTCCAGTAGCTTGATCAAGAGTTTTCTAAAACATTCTTTCAATAAGCCTACCCAAAACCAAGTGCATGATAGCTTTGCCCAACTAGAAGCTTTGCCCAACTAGAAGCTTTGCCCAACTAGAAGCTTTGCCCAACTACAAGCTTTGCCCAACTAGAAGCTTTGTCCAACTAGAAACTTCCCAATCTCCAGGTTCAATCACTCAATTTCTAGGTTCAATCACTCAATCTCCAGGTTCAATCTCTCAATTTCTAGGTTCAATCAATCGAGCTTGAGCCTCATGCCGAATTTGTCGGAATCGATCGAATTCGCGACAAGAGAAACAATCGTGTGATGAGCTTGGAAGACGCGAAAAGAATCGGATTGGCGAGAGTGGACAAAAAGGGAAAACAACACACGAAGACCTATGCAGCATTCAGATCAAATCTACAAAATGCTGTTACAAAGGTTTGCTTGGTTTCAATTACCGGTTTAATTAATTCGTTCAATTCTAGGGAGTGATCGATGCGAATGGTTCAAAGATCTCGTTGGAAGACGCGATTCGAGCAAGAATCATCGACATTAATGCTTTAACATATGCAAATCCGAAGACAGGAGAGAGTCTGCCATTGGGACAAGCTGCGAATATGGGATTAGTTGATGTGACATTGTCGGAGACATTGCCAAAAGGAGTCATTCATCCAACGAACAATGAGAGAATCCCCATTCAACGGGCAATTCAATTGGGAATTGTTGACTCGCGAACAGGAGAGGTGAGTTCGCGTCCTATAACCCTTCAACACTTGTTGTACGTAGCCTGTAAGCCGTACTGTTGGATTAGAGCCGATAGCTGTAATCCAACACTAAGCCTGTAAGCCGTACAGTGCTAAATAGGACACTCTAGTTAGATAAGGATTCGTAGAGTGTACTTTGAGCTCGTCTAAAACGCGCACCGTCTGATTAGATGATCAAACAGTCTATTACCAGTACGATTACCTTTAGGTCCACAACCCATTCACAAAGGAGCGTTTGACGTGGTTGGATTTATTGAAGTCGGTCTACAATGCGGTCACCAATCAAGGTGTCTACGATCCGACAAAAGGATATGGAGTCCCAGTGACAAGTGCACTCAATGAAGGACTGCTTGACTCGAAAACAGGAAGATATCACAATACGATCACGAAAGAGTCCATGGAATTGGATCAAGCCTTGGAAAAGGGGTGAGTTTCCTTTTTGAGCAGTTGAAGCTAAGGAACAGCTTGTCTTAGCGATAGTGATAGACAAGGAACATTATTGAATTGCTTCTCAGCAGCTCAGTAGCTCATTAGCTCATCCACACTTTTCAGTTTAATCGATCGGGGCACGTATGATGCGATCACGGCTCCATCCATCCGCGATTTCCACACAAATCGTGACGTCTCTCTAATGGACGCTGTTCGATCGGGAATCATTGACCCGAAAAATCGAACCATTCAATTGAGTCGACAGAGCATTGTGCCGATTTCAAAAGCTGTGCAAGACGGTAGAATCCCGAGAGAGATTGGAAGTCATTTGAGAAGAGTCGACAAGTTGACATTCGCAGAAGCGCTTGGAAAGGGGTTGATCGATGTGTCAAGCAATTCGTTCAAGTGAGTGACAGGCTTTACTGTAGTATAGCTATTGAATGGCATTCAATAGCTATACAGTGCGTTTCATAATAAATAATACGGCGATTTCCTTGATCGATTGCATGTCGGGCGTCAATTTGGCGATTTCCTTTCTCGTACGGAGAAAGCGATTTCCAAAGAGGCAGAAAGCAGTTTCAAACTAAAAATAAAAGTTAAATAACATTTAATAAAGAAACAATGTAAAAACATTAACAAATCATAAGAAAATAAAAAGAAAATAGATTTATGAATGTTCAGAGAAATTTGAAATGATCGCTTTTTAGAAAATTTTTGTCTAGTTTTCGTCTAAAAATTACAGTAATCCCGGCAAGGTGTTTTTTAGGGTTTTGAAAAATGCTCTTTTCAATGAAAAGAAAATTAACTCCATAGCTTTTTCCAATCTTTGTAAACTGTAATTTTTATCTAAAGAATTATGAAACGCACTGCTGTACTGTTGTACTGTTGTACTGCTGTACTGTTGTACTGTTGTACTAGTACTCTATCCTAAACATTTTGCAGAGATCCGGACACAGGACGACAGATCCCCCTTCAACAAGCCATCGACGAGGGTTTCATGGATGAGGGAAGCTTGAGGTGAGTGAATTGAACTATTCCTTTCAATTAGCTACAATATTCCTGTAATCCATTCCCTACAATTACAAGTATTACAGCTTACAGCCATTACAATAGCTGACTATAAAGAGTTACGATAGTTTTCCGCTGAAATCACACCATTTCAGACCACTCGAAGCCGAGCAAGAGAACAACCTGGCTAATGTGCTTGAGTCAAATGATTTCGACGATGCATCTGGCCGCTTGAGAGACAAGAAATCGGGTCTCCATCTTACATTCAAAGCGGCTGTTGATCGAGATCTCATTGATGGAGACTCACTCCTTCACGAGACTGAAACAGCTCAAACATTGACTCTCCGAGAAGCGGTGAGCCGTGGAAAAATCGATCAAGACGGAAAATATGTGGACTCAAAGAGTGGGAATCGATTGAGATTGAAAGAGGCTGTACAAACGGGACATTTGGCGCTAATCTCGAGTCCGATGGATGCAGCAAGAGTGGTGGCTGAGGCGGTGAAGAGGAGAGATGCGGAAGGGTATCGATTCAGATTAGAGGGATTGGATGAAGCGAAGCAACATCACCGACACTCTGGGGGCGCGCCAAAGTTCCGAGAAGAGACCACAGTGTATCGATTGAATCGGCCCGAGCCTGGGTTGGCCGTAAGAATGCGGATGTCCGATAGTACAGGAGCTGTGGCCGACAGAGCAAGGTGGGGAGTTCCCTTATGGTTTAGCGGAAGTTCTTACGGCGACTTCCTTTTAGCAGATTAGCTCCAAAGTTCAACTCTAATGTGTTAAGTGTTATTTAAAATATTGAAGCCTTTAATCTTGGCTACATTTCTCTCTTTAAAGTTTCCCGATTGGAGTTGTGCAAGTCAAGCTTTTGAATGAATCAAAGCTTTCGAATGATCCCTCTCCGGCACACTGTCATTTTTCGCTTACAAAATGAGTTGTATATCTCCAATCGGGAAACTTTTAACAGAGAAATGTAGCCAAGATTGAGGGCTTCAATCTCTTATATAGCACTTAAGACATTGGGAATTTGGGACTTGAACTTGGGAGCTAATCTTGGTTGAACTTGAGAGCCAAAAAGAAGTCGCCGTAAATACTGAGCACCCTGACAGCTCAAAGTAGCTGACAAGTAGCACAATAACTGATACTAATGTTTGTAGCAGGCCAATAGTAGAGTAACCGCTTGAGAAAAGCACTCTGAGAGCTGATTCTATTACTAAAGCTTCAGATCAATCATCGAAGACCCATCATCACTTGCCGAGATGCAGCACGAATTCTTGAATGCTCTCGAGGCGGCTCAGGTTCGACAAACAAAAAAACAGACAGATAAACAAAGAAACAAACAGACAGACAGACAAAGGAACAAACAGACAGACAGATAAACAAACAAACAAACAAACAGAAAGACAGATAAACACACAGACAGACAGATAAACAAACAAACAGACAAACAAATAAACAGACAGGCAGACAAACAAATAAACAGACAGGCAGACAAACAAATAGACAAAGAAACAAACAAACAAACAAACAAACAAACAAACAAACAAACAAACAAACAAACAAACAAATAAACAAATAAACAAATAAACAAACAAACAAACAAACAAACAAACAAACAAACAAACAAACAAATAAACAAACAAACAAATAAACAAACAAACATACAGACAGATAAACAAAAAAAACAAACAGACAAACAAACAAACAAAACAAAAAACAGCAAAACTTTGAATAGAAGAAGAGCCAACCAAAAAACGTTTTGAGAAACAAAATGATAATTTAACGACTGCACAACGTTCCTTTAGACGTCGCGACAAAAAAACAAAAGGGCGCGGTTTAGAAAACACAGCCAACACAAATCTGTGGGAATAAACATGCATTCCCAACACAAACAAACAACGAAAGATTTACTATTTATCGATTTATCGATTTACTATCGAAAGATTTACAGTTCGACACAGAGGCTCGAATTCTTGAGAATCCTGCTACAAACAATCGGGTTTCAGTTCGAGAAGCTGCTGAAACTGGTGAGAAATTGATAAAGAAAGATTGATAAAGAATTATTAGATTAGAGCTAATCCAAGATCTAGTTCAATCTAGTCCAAGATCAGTTCAAGATCTTGAACTAGATCTGGTTCAAGATCTAGGTCAAGATCTAGGCCAAGATCTAGGCCAAGATCTAGTCCAACATCTAGTTCAAGAGCTAGTCTAACATCTAGTCCAACATCTAGTCTAACATCTAGTCTAACATCTAGTCTAACATCTAGTCCAATCTAGTCCAAGATCTAGTCCAAGATCTAGTCTAACATCTAGTCCAATCTAGTCCAAGATCTAGTCCAATCTAGTCCAATCTCGTCCAAGATCTAGTTCAATCTAGTCCAACATCTAGTCCAATCTAGTCCAAAATCTAGTCCAATCTAGTCCAAGATCTAGTCCAAGATCTAGTCCAATCTAGTCCAATCTAGTCCAAGATCTAGTTCAATCTAGTCCAACATCTAGTCAAATCTAGTCATCTAGTCCATTCAGATTGAGTCCAATTTCCAAAATCCTAGGCCTTCTTGACGTGCTCTCTGGAGAGATCGTTCACCCAGACACCGGCCGACGATACACTCTCCCAAAAGCGGTTCACATGAAATTGTTGCAAGTTGATCCAGCAAAGAGATTGATGCAAGCATTGGGACAATCCACTGATGAATTGGAGCCAAAACAGGTAAGAGATCGTGAGGAAATTTGCAATAGCTAGAAGCAAAACAGATAAGAGATCTTCATCAAATTTAGCTACTAAACTTGTAATGTTTTCTTTAAGTTTAGTAGCTATCTTACAATGTAAAGGTTTAACTAAAAGCTAAATCCAGTCATCAGGCAGATCCAGTCATAAACCATTCAAAAATGATTCTAGACATCCTCATCCTTCACTCCTGGTGGACACACTTCAACAACCACCACATCGTACGGACAACCCGGATCTGGATTTGGAGGATATACAGAGAGAACAACAACCACAACAAATACAATCCCTGGAGCTGGTGGAGAAGGAGAAACGACCAACAAGTAGGGGAAAGATTCCATAGATTCTATGGATTCTATAGATTCGACAGATTCTATAGATTCTATAGGTTCTACAGATTCTATAGATTCTATGGATTCTACAGATTCTATGGATTCTATAGACTCTACAGAGTCTACAGATTCTACAGATTTCTATAGAATCTATAGAATGGATTAACTACAGTATATAGCTAATCCCAGCTACAGGATTTCTAGACAAAACACTATATTCAAGGAATGCGTAGAATTCTACTCAATTCCTTAGATCAATAAATTCCATAAAATTCTAGGACCTGGACGAAGACTGTTGATTGGAAAGGTCGTCCGGAGGAGTTGCGTCACTCTGACTATGATCCGTTGGAGCGTTACACAACCTACACAAAGGATAACGAAGAACGAGTCGATGCACCACAATGGGCTCGACGACATTAGAAAGAAAGAAAAGAAAAAAAGAAAGAAATAAAGAAAAGAAAAGAAAGAAAGATTCATTTAGATGAAACCCTAATTTTCCTAAAACATTGTATATTTTTGCTCATTTAAATGCACTCTTCAAAAAATTTCTCTAGGATTGGCTAACCTTTGGAATATTTTTGTTTTGTGCACGTAATTTCTCCAAAAATTGTATAACTCTGGAGATTTCACATTGAATGAAGAATCGATTTAATTTTTTTTTTGTTTTTGCTTTTCCTTTGATCAATCCCATTCCTATTTCTTTGTGATATGCTCAGTTTCACTTTTTTTTTTTCTAAAAAGATTTCTCGCAGTTAACATTTCACCCTCATTCATGTGCCTAAAAACAACGAAGCTCAAGCATTTCCCCAAAAAATTTTTTCACTTTTTTAAGCACTGCCACATTTTTTTTGCTTTTTCAAATTTATAAATTGATTAAAATAAAGAATTTATTCAAGATCGTAATCTTTACGGAATGCGTCTCAAATTAGGAAACAACGATTTTGATACAACACACTTACAAACTCAAAATAAAGTCACCGTATTTTCAACAAGAAACAAATAAGAGATGAATAACAATGTAAGGTAAGCTCTGAAAAGAGCTGGGGTATAAAAAGGAAAAGTTAACGATTTTTAGCACAGGAGATTCGTTTAGCACTATGCGTTTTAAAATTGAGTGATTCGAAGAGTTTGTCCACTCAAATCGTCCCTCCTATGCTAAAAACCATCCCGCTACTGACCTAGGCTTCGTCGGCTTCGTCGGCTTTACTGCTTGCGTGAAAAGCGGCTGCAAGATCTCCAGTTTCGCGCAGTCTTTCTCGAATGATCTCAGCGATGGCTCTTTGTGTTCTTCTCTCCAATTTCTGCAATCGTTTCTCGTTGTTCCTCTTCAAATCCCAGTCTAAAATTTATTGGTTAACACAAAACAAGAAAATTTATTCATAATCTAACCCTAATGTGCAATAAACGCAAACCTAATTTCTTTGGTTGCAGAGTTGAGGGATCGATTTGTTCAGGCAATTCTGTATTCTGTGTGTCCTCCAAATGCTCAGCGATTTCCTTCTCGACGATATTGTAGTCGAAAGTCGCGTTTTCGCCTTTGGCGACCTCTTCCGATGATGGATTATAGTTGCGGAAAGTTCGTTCACTTTGCTGACTTCTCTTTGTGAGTTCGTCTCCTTCTTGATAGTCCTCCTCTTTCATCTCGACTCCATTGATACGGCTTCTCATCGCTAACAATCTAAAATAAAATGCTTTGAAGTGGAATTCCCACAAAACTTTTATAATTTTGTTTTAATTTTAAACCCTAGCTTAACATTTAAGTTTTTATCTTTGTAGATGACGTACCGTAAAAACTCTAATAGAAGACCCAAGTCTTCTATTTTTCAATCCTCCAAAATCGGCCAGTCAAAAAAGTAGGTAAGGGTCCCCACATGAATCAAAACTCATTTATTTTTTCTTAAAAACCATTCTAGGTAATAGCCCTTGGTCTAAAACGTGCAGGAAACCTTTTTTTAAAGGTGAAAATATTTTTTACCCAAGACCCTAGATGGGTCTTTCAAAAAAAAATGAACGTGATCTCGCCCTAAGATTATTTTCCAAAAAATCCTTCTTTACTTTTACTTAATTAAACCACGTTTCCAATTTTATTGCCAAAGCAAAAATACTTCTATTTGGGTCCATATCTACAACTTTAGCTAAAAAAAATGTTTTAAAAACTCAAGATTTCGAGGAGTCGAAGAGGGTCTTCTAATAGAGAGGCGTTTTCTATTAGTTTTTACGGTATTTCAAAGCATTTTTCAAAATTTTGATACCAAATCAAATTCAAACGACCCCCTCCCACCAGGTTTATTATTTCCAAAAACGATACCGTTTCTTTCGGTCCATCGATGCCTTCTCAGCTGCCGACATCTCAGTTTGTTCCATTTCATCTCCCGACGACATATGCGCATCATCCGTCATCTTGAGTCTAAATTTTATTTTATAAAAACAATAGCTTATGACAATAAAGTTAAAAGACTTCAGCTCGACCATCAGTTTTAAAAAAATTGATTATCTAAGCTGAAACCTTCCAACTTTATTATTGTCGTTGAACCGAAAACAATAAATAGAGTACATTGTGAAACATTGGTTGATTCAAAGCAATTTCAATGATAGCTTACAAACAAAGATAAATACGTCAAAATCAACCCCAACAAAGATCATAAAAATGGCAAAATAAGTACAGCAATCAATCGGAGGCAGAAGAACTTGAGCTTGATCGTCGCTTCGACTTCTTCTTTTCCTTTTTAGCTTTCTTTCGCTTTTTCTCGTTATCATTGTCGTGGTGTTTCTTTTCCTTATCAGTAGGACCTTCTTTGAATTTTCGACGAGGGCTTCGAGATCGGCTACGGGATCGTGATCGCTTCTTTCTCTTCACATCCCTCTTTTCTTCATCTTCTTTTCGTGATTCCCTTCTTTCATCTCGTTTGTCTCTATCATCTCTTCGATGCTCCCGATCACGATCCCCTCGATCTCGTCTTTCTTCCGATCGTCGAACTTCTCTTTCACGTCGTGGACGTTCCCGATCCCTATCCCTTTCTCGTTCTCGTTCTCGTTCTCGATCCCTGCCCCGATCTCGTTCTCTGTCCCTATCTCGAACATTGTCACGAGTATCATCTCTTGGGCGTTCTCGAACATTGTCACGAGCATCATCTCGTGGGCGTTCTCGAACATTGTCACGAGCATCATCTCTTGGGCGTTCTCGATCCTTATCCGAATAAATTCTGTCATCTCTTTCTCGTTTGATCATCGGTCCTGTGTACACTCCCCCACTCAACGAAGTGTAGCGATGCTTCCAATCGTTCTCAGCCGTTTTTATCGCAACGTTGTCCTTCGTTTCGGTTTGCTTCTTGGCAAAATCTCTCGAATGCAACTCACTCAACTTCTTCTCGATCAAACTCTTTGGAATTCCATCTTCTGATTCCTCTGCCTCGATCAAAAGACTCCACAATTCGCCCATGAACTCTAAAAAGAAAATAAATTAAATTGTGAAAATTATTGGTACTAATAAAGTTGGGGGGAGGGGGGGGAACACTTTTTTGAGATTTTTTTCTGAGGTAATCGACGACGCTGATCACGAAAACACGAAAATCGCATTTTTAACATAAGTTTACTTATTAAAATTGACTGGAACCCTGGAAAAGCAATCGAAATCAACGCATTTTTGCCATTTCGCAGTTTAAGTGAAAATTTTTGTGATATTAGGGTACTTCTTGGATTCTAGGGAAAATCGCCATCTAAAAACTTCAATGCCGCGTTTTTGTCAGGAAAATGTGAGTTTTTCGAAAGATTTAAAGATTTTATTTTTTATTTTAAGCTTTTACACAGCTTGACTTAAGTGGGAGGGACTTGTATGACCAAATTAAACATGACTAAACTTGATAAGTACCAAAAAAAACTTGCTAAGAATGCGATTTTCGTGATCAGCGCCCTCAATTATCCCAGAAAAATTAAAATCTCGAAAAAAAGCGCCTCTCCAACTTTATTAGTACCAAATTATTTCTTTCTTACTAGGAAATAAAACTTTAATATACCCTACTACGGGATCTTTACAGTTATCGGAGAGAGGAAGCGAAGGTCGTGGTTTTATAACGAAATTTACTGCAAAACTGCAAACTTAGATTCTAAATAACTAGAAATTACCAATCTACCCTAAGGAAGCCATCCGTCGATTTTCAAAGCGATCGGATCAGTGCCGCAGCTCCCACGATGACTAGCGATTATCGGCAAGGCCAATTTTTTGACCAACTTGCAGCTCGTTTTTAAGCACATTAAACTTGTCAGATCAGAGGATTTTAACAAGATTTAGATAGCTTAGAACGTCAACTTTCAGAAACTATTTGTTTTATCAAAAGTTATTGACAAAAAACTATATACAGGATGTTCCAAAAAAAGTCAATTCAGCGTGATTTTTCTCAGAATTAGCGATTACCGACGGGGGCCAAGTTTTTGACCAACTTGAGCATTATCTCTTGGGCGTTCTCGATCCTTATCCGAAGTCAGTTCAGCGTGATTGTTCTCAGAATTTCTAGTGGCTGTTGTGTCTGGTGTTGTGGTGTCAAAGCGAATATTTTTGGTGGGTAAATTTTTGATATTTTTTCACTTTTTCTCGATTTCATGACCTCCTAAATAAAAAAAAAATGAAATTTCTGAGCCACCACGATATGGATCACCATCATAAAATTTTTGCCATAAAATTGAAACTTTCCACTGGTATCGTGGTGTCATATCAAAGCTAACATGCAAACTAAGATTTTCAACAAAACACTTTATTAGTAGCTCATGAGCAGAAAATGGCTTCTTCTTTGAAAATTGTGAGTTAAAAGAGTCCTATTTACAAGAGACTACTGGATGTTCTAAACCTATAGTGTTTGGTTGAGAATCTTAGTTTATATCTTAACTCTAAGATGACACCACGATGCCAGTATAGTTTTAATTTTATGGCAAAAATTTCATGATTGTGATCCATATGGTGGTGTCAGCCATGGTGGCACAGAAATTTCATGTATAGGAAAGCCATGAAATGGGAAAAAGTGAAAAAATATCAAAAATTTACCCACCAAGAATATTCGCTTTGACACCACAACACCAGACACAACAGCCACTAGAAATTCTGAGAACAATCACGCTAAACTGACTTCGGATAAGGATCGAGAACGCCCAAGAGATGATGCTCAAGTTGGTCAAAAACTTGGCCCCCGTCGGTAATCGCTACCCCCCGCCGTTAAGGGTAAAGATCCTCCATAAATAAAATGCAAAAACCCACCCCGTGCTCGACGAGCGTTGAGAAATCCGGTGATGTTGATTTGAATGATCTTCGGATTCAATTCGGGTTCCTCTAGTTGCGTGAAAACGTACTCGGTGATCACATCATCGTCAATCCCAAGCATTTCATTCAATCGCATCACTACCCATGGCTTGATCACATCCAAATTGATCTTGGATCGATTGATTTTCCTCTCCAGGGCATCCTCGAATTTCATCGTTCGCAGCAATTTCTTTTCCTTGTCCGAGAATCGGCCATCCTGATCGGCGTTTGTTCCCCTGTAGAATCCGGCATCGCCCATTGCTTTCTGAAAAAGGAAAAATCATTTAAGACGGATTCATTTACATGGATATAATTATGTAAAGTTTAAAAATCAAGTCAATCTTTGAAAGAACAAAGTTAACAGAAAGAATTGAGCGAGAATAACAGAAAAGGAAACAAGCGGAAATTTCGAAGAAGCGAAGTACGCGCGTGTCCAAATTACGCCCTCATCCGGCAGCATGTTTAAAAGTTTAAAAATTTTTGAAAAGTTCATTTTCAAATTTCACTTGCATGTTAATGTAGCTGTGGAGTTGAATTGGGCGTGCTGATTCGTTCAGCTTTTGTTTCTTTGCCTCTGCCTCTTTTGATATCTACACTACTGGACAATGAAATATCATATTTGAAAAACGATCGTCCCTTTCGCGCGTCTTTAACTCCCTTGTCTTTAACGTATTTCTAAATATTAATATTACCATTGTGTAGCCCTTGAAAAGAGCTTTCAGGAAATGTATAACACTAATAGCGCGTGTCCAAATTACGCCCTCATCCGGCAGCATGCTTAAAAGTTTAAAAATTTTTGAAAAGTTCATTTTCAAATTTCACTTGCATGTTAATGTAGCTGTGGAGTTGAATTGGGCGTGCTGATTCGTTCAGCTCTTGCCTCTTTGCCTCTTTTGATATCTTGTACACTTGTCAGTACAAGTGGCAAACTACTTGTTATTTAGCGCTTATTTTTCAATCTTGCCTTGTTTCCTTCATAAAACTCCGTGACTTCCCATTCGTCCTTGAAACAAAGCCTCATACAAGCATCACCGGACACCTCATGCCGTGAATAAGCTGCACAAAGAGTCGACAAAATCTTGATTGGTCTAAAGTTGGATGTGTTATACTATTTGCAAAACAAAAGCAAGCTTTCAATGAACATAGCACTGGACAATGAAATATCATATTTGAAAAACGATCGTCCCTTTCGCGCGTCTGTCTTTAACTCCCTTGTCTTTAACGTATTTCTAAATATTAATATTACCATTGTGTAGCCCTTGAAAAGAGCTTTCAGGAAATGTATAACACTAATAGTTTAAACTCAAAGACAAGGGAGTTACAGATGCACGAAAGTGACAATCGTTTTTCAAATATCATATTTCATTGTCCAGTACTGTACGTTGCGCGTTTGAAAGGAAGAATTTTCAAAATAAAACAGCTCCATTTTCTATCCCTTTCTCAAGGGTTAGACTGTGATCATTCCATTAATGCTTTAAAATGTTTAAATCTATCAATTAATTTAATTTTAATTTTAATTTTATTATCAATTCCCCCATCAATTCTCCCATCAATTCTCCCTCATCACTGTTATTCTTGCTCTTGATTTGTTTTTTTGTCTTTGATCCATTGCATAATTCTTTCTTTCAGACGAGAAAATTGGATGCTGGACGAAACGCATTTCGGGGTGACGTCCCCGTACGGACTACAAGAAGTGGTGGTGGTTGGCTCGGAAAATGACATGATCATCGATGAATTGGAGGTACGAGTCTTTTCTGTTTGCTAATTATGCGTTTCTATCATTTTTCGGTCCTATAGTATTTGGGCGGGGGCAAGATTTTTGATACTAGAGGTTTTGGGGTGGGGGGAGGCACTTTTTTTTCACCAAAACTATTTTTCCTGGGGTAATTGGTGACGCTGATCACGGATAGGTTATTTTTAAGGCAATTTGGTGCTATCCGGGTCGGGGGAGGGGGGCCAAAGATTTTCCAGAATAAGTTACTTAGGTTTTCATTACATTTTTATAAACGTTGTTAAAAGTTGCGAAATGTTGTGTGAAACCATCACCAATCGATTTAGCATTGTCAAAAAATCCGCTCATTTGGCGAAATTTTGTCCCCAACTATTATAGCCCCCATGTTTCTACATATTAACTTACAATTTTAGAAACATGGAATCCAAGCTCGCTACAGCGATGATGGACTTGACTACATTGATCAGGATCCCCTCTTTGTGATAGATGGTAGGCTTACATTTGAAGTCTATGTAAACCTTGTATTTAGATTTCATGACACGGGCATTTATAAATCTCGCATCGACTGGAAGAAATCCGCAGAAAGACGTGAAGTCTCCAAGGATTGTCGGGCCCCCATACATTCTACAAAACCTCAAGCTTCACCAGGTTGTTTTTTTCACATCAAATAATATATTTTCTCATTCAGAAGGTTACTTTGCCTCCACGCAACCGCCCTCGTTTCTGCTGTTTAATGGCCGACATCCACGTCAAAATGGATGTTAAAGATTCGGATCTAAAGAAAGAGCTCATCGACAAATTTCACTGGATGAGTGGCTCCGTCAAAAAAGAGGTATTCTTGATGTTGCAAAAGCTAAATAGTACTATTTTAGATGGGCCAACTATTAACACACTTTGTTGGTGACTCAGTCAGCTCCGAAAGTTGCAGGGTAAGGGTTTTAAAAGTTTCGATTTTAGTTGAGGTTTAGAAAGTGGCAGCACTTGGGTTGCCCCTTCTGCGGTACACATGGATATCGGAAGCATGGAGCCAGGCAAAGAATTTGAACTTTAACGTTATGGAAGAGAGCTTTGTGCGTCACTGAAAAACTCAGCACATTCACAGATTATCTTTCAGCTGAAACGCCATACTTTGGAATGTTTTGAGGGACTAAGGTTTTACTTCGTTGGTTTTTCGGAAGAGCAAGTCGAAGAAATGACGCGTATCGCAGAGGCTAAACGTAATTGCTCAATTTGCGAACTTAAATTTGGCTTTATTTAGTTGCTGAAGTGGTCGGTCATATGGCGCTGGCATCTCATCTCATTTATGGAACGTTTTCGGAAAATCTTCCTTCGATCCCCATTGATATCCTTGCATGGCGTGTTACTGAAAAGGTATCATTTGCTTGAAAACAATTAGATATACAAGTGCTTTTAGTGGTTCTGGAAGTCGGTCGATTTGGGAAGAGCTTTGTCAGAGTCCGATTTTGCCCCCAATTCGAAACCCATTCAACGCCAGAACACGCATACAACACTCAACGGCAGCAAATCATCAATTTTGAACAACTCTAACAGCTCGATGATATCGGGTAGCGAGAGAAGTACGGGCTCTCCATGCAAAGCGGATAAAAAGCAGCTTGTTTGTTTCTATTAGCCTGTGGTTTTGTGCATTTGTAATTTAGATTGTCTCCGAGATGCTTCAAACGGAAACCAATTACATTGAGGCTCTACAACTACTGATGCAGGTAGCTTTTCTGGTTCTGGGCTTAACTCTGAATTTTTAGATGAAACAGAAGTTAGCCGGAACAAAAGAAAACGACAGTGAATCGTGGATTGCAAAGAATCCACATGGAAATATCACAATGGCTGATGCGAATATCATCTTTGGAAAGGTAAGTCTGATGCAGTAAAGTTGTTACAGAAACTTTTATTTAGTTGAGTCCGATTATTGCTGCACACAAATCCATTCAAAAGGACTTGAGCACTCTCGTCAACAATTGGACGCCGAAATCTGCTGTTGGTCCGGTACGTTTCAATGTTTCTTCTAGTTTAAACTAGGTTTTAGATTTGGCACGCGCACATGGATATCCTTTCCAAAGTCTACCCACCGTTCATCAACACTTATGACATGGCAAAGCAACACTTCATGCATTTGGATGAGGACGAACACTTTCATGCCTTTGTCAGGGTAAGCCATTTTTAAAATTTTTTTTTACTTTCGATTTTTTTTTTTTAAAGACTTGTGAAGCTGATGAGAAGTGGCGACGCCAGCGCGTGATGGATATCTTGGTTCGACCAGGTTCAATTTGATGCAATTCGGTTGTTTATCGATAAATTTTAGTTCAACGTCTTGCTCAAATCTTCATGCTGCTCGAACAATGCGCCAAACACAGCAAGAAGAGCTCGAGCGATGCGGATTCCCTTAGCAAGGCTTGTCGTAAAGGACAAGACATACTAAAGTAATTTATTTATTTAAAAACTTATTGTATAATGTTCAGAGTTGCGAATGAATCACGACGTGCCACTGAAGAGTATGAGAAGAACTGCCGCCTGTTTGATGAGATTGAGAATATGCCACCAGAATTGCGATCGAGTCAACGGTACTTAAATGAAGGTTAGTTAGCCTTTGAATTTAAGCGTCAGGTTTGATTCAGAATGCATTGTCGTTTGTCTGGGAGGGTCTGGTGATTGGCAGCGCTTTTTGCGAAAGCCACTTAGGTTGATGATTTTCAACGATATTTTTGTGGTAAGTGGCAATTAACTTTACTTTACTGGACTTTCCTTTTCTAGATTGTCAAAAGACGTGCTCCTCCAACTGGGACCATTTCAAGGATGGCTCGTCATTTCTCCACCAATTCGTTGTTGAGCGATCGACGCAAGATCTACAAATTCATCTCGTTTTACTCTTACAACAGTGGTATTCGGCAGATTGCTTCGTTAAACGATAATTGTAAGTATTCTTGGAGCCAATTGTTAATTTTTCTAAATAAGTTTAGCAATGGACAAAAATCGTCTATTTATGATTACTTTGCGCCACAATGAGAAAGGGGATGAGCAGGTTAGTTTTTATTAGCATTTATCAATGGTCCTTCTTAGGTGTTACTTGGGGTGGATGAATATTATGGTCATGATCCGACGCACGTCGCGAACTGTATGGCTCAAATAGAAAAGAATGTCTTCTTGGAAACTGGCCGCGAAAATTTGATAGAGGTTATTTTGTTTTTGCTGTCTAACTTTTTACTTTTAGAAACGGACCTTGCGCAAACTGCCACAAGCTTATACGGTCGACATGGTTGAATCGTCAGCGATAAGGTAAGAATTTCCTTTGGCTATGAGCAAAAACTAGTTTAGTGTTCTTGACGAAACCAAGGAAAACATCATCGATCCCGACATGACTGTGAGCTGTCATGGGGCTAGAAGATTCACGTTGCGGAAGGCGTTGTCAAACACAAACATTCTTCAGCGGCGTTTCCACACACACCCACTGCGTGAACAGCAAAGCCCGTGCATTCGTGAGCTTTACTTTTTGTTTATGATTGATTGAGTTTAGTGGAAGAATCAGTGTTTGTCCCGATTGATGATGCTCATCCGTCATTCTCGACTTCAACAGTCAACGTTGCAAGTCCAAGCGCGTCACCGCGGAAAGGCCTTGGTCCAAAGGTCAGTTGGTATAACATTTAGTAAGAGTTGAGCAATTTTTTGTTTTTAGATGCAGGGTGTCAACAACTTGTTGCGAATATTCAGAAAGCCATCGTTCCGAAAGCAGGACACGACGCAGCTGGATCAAACCGCCGTGAATGGAAAATTTTACTCAAAACCAATATAGCTCTATAAACTAATCTTTATCGTGCCTTATTATGTGCTTTTCATCCTCTGATGACAATTGCTTTTACTCTTGGTGCATATTCAAACTTGTCTGATGTTTATATCTCTTTGAACATAATTTTATTTCGATGAAATGCGGTATCTATTAGTACTTTTACTTTAGACCCTAATTTTTATGTAGATTTTACCTTGATTTCACTGAACTGAATAAATTTTGATAAACTTGTGGAATTTTTGCTGCTATGCGTTTTTCTCGCTGAAATTTCTTGAACTTCCTAGATTTATGCAATTGTGGCAACGAATTCTTGGATTATTGACAGTCTTTTCCTGCTCGCTGTACACAAAAGGCGTCAGTGAAAAGTCGCCATTGGGTGAGCCCTTTGCGCGCTTTTGGTTGTTTGTACGTGGAGGAATTATGTAAGCTAACTCGCAAATTAGATTCCACAAATGTTTTAAGTTTTTTAAAGATTATAGATGCTTGTTCTTTAAAGTACGAGTTTTGACATTCTCTGTTCCTAGGTAGTCGTGCCATCAAACTACGGAACGAAAAATTTTTGTTCTGATGTGTTCGATTTTGTACCTTTGACTAGATTTCTTGGACTTTTCTTTTTCCTGAAAAGTATCCGTGTTGTTATGCTTCTTTATTTAGTTTATGGTTTCAGCCGGTGTAAGCATGACGGTGCTCAAGGTGAAATATGGCAGCGACATCAGGAAAACCGTGATCAGGCATAACAACGACCTGACGATGAACGACCTCATTCTAATGGTGCAACGAATCTTTAATGTTCAACCGCACGATCCGCTGGTGTTGAAATACAAAGATACAGGTAAAAACTTTTAGTTTATAAGATCTGAAAATGTTTTTTCTTGACTAATAGTGGGTGGGTGATGTCATAGTTTTATTCCAGAATAATGTTTTGTTTCAGATGGCGACTTGATTACCTTGGTCGACGATTCGGATTTGAGCCTCGCCTTGAACTACGAAGCTTTGACCGTCGAAGTGCTTGGAGGATCTGCCTCGTTGGAAACAATCAAAGACAACCTCGTCCAAATTCAGGTAATTTTGCTGCGATAACATTTATAATTTGTTCTTTAGGCTTCAATCGATCGTCTCACGAGCTCAATTGCAGCTTTGGAAAACTTGCCAGCTTCGAAAGAAACCACTGCCAGTCATCCAGCTCCTCCGAAGTTCAACGGTATTCCGACCAACAACATCCCGTCACCTCCTTCGCCTGAACCATCGCCTACGCAAGTTGCTCCCATTCCTGCCACTATCCAACCATCGTTCCACGAGCAGGTATGTTAATTGTATTGATGCCACATTAAATTGTGCTTCTAGTTTCATCATGATCACGGTGGGCTTCATGCTGTCCACAATGACGTAAGTAACTACTTTTGGATGAGTGTAATTGCTATTTAGAACGTTGTTGAAGAGGAGATACCGTTGGGAGCCGAAGCTGCATCTGTGGCCAGTCATCCAGCCAGTCATTTCTCACATCCGAATGACGGCTTTGTATATCAACCGCAGGTATGTTTTGTTTATCCAATTACAGATCAAAAGCAACCCTTAATGTTTTCTTTAGCCATTGCAGAATCAAGGAGTTCCCAGCCACTTCCAGCCTCCACCCGCTTCGGTTCCATCGTTTCCACCAAGTCATCAGGCGACACCACCAATTTCTGCAACGGCTCCATCACCGATGATGCATCCTGAACCTGCTCCACCCGCTCCACAACACGTCAATGCGAGTCCATTTGGCGTGCAGACTCCATATCAACCTCAACCTCAATCGCAATTCGGCGGACCACCCGTCAGTGCCCCTTCTCAAATTCCGCCTCAATTCGTTCCTGGATTCGGAGGGGGTATGTTTTTGTTTGTTAATTCTTTACGCATCTTTCCAACTCAGCCCCATCCGCCCCACCATCGCAGTACGGCCAACAGCAGCAAGTGCCACCACCACCCGGACCTCCTCAACAATTCGGCCAGTTTCCTGGCGGACCATCAAATGCTTCGGGATTCCCACCAGCTGGACAATATTCTGCTCAACAAGTAAGCAACTTATCCTGATGGTTAACTGAATTGCGGAGACTTTGTGCTGTGTTGAAATGTTAAAAGTTCATATTTTATAAATCTTGTAATTTAGGTGCCACCACCAGCACCCGAGCCAACGCACCCGAACCATCCACCAGTCTCGGCACCGCCATCAGCTTTTGCACCCGGACTTTCACACCAACAGGCAATCCCTCCACCAAACTTTCCACCGATGGGTGCTGCCGGCGGACCTCCACCAATGATGGGTGGACCTGGTGGAATGCCTGGAATGAATCCATTCGCTCGTGGACCAGCACCGCCGCAAGCAAATTACCGACAGTCGCCCTATTAACATTGGCTTATTTACGTGATTTGTCTTTTCATCATCTCCATGGGCCTGTGCTATTGATTCCACATTGTGATCCGATGTTTCTCTAATAAAGTTACTTGTTTTCTAGGTTCTTTGTTCTTGGTGTGTGATGTGCCCTGCGTGGATATTTATTTAGTGTGTGATTGATTCTAAGCATGTTTTTATGCCGTTCATTTCTGTGTTTCCTGTTAGATTTTTGGAGAGTATACTTGTTTTTTTCTCTGAAAAAAATGAATAAATTGTCGTTCATATATTTTTGTTTAAGAGCACATTTGGGATATAATCACACCAGTAAATTACATACAAGAATTATTTATAAAATGACGTGGTGGTTTTTTGATAGTCCATACCTCAACGTGTTAAATCAAGATTAAATATTTTGTTTTTCACGTTTAATGCTATTAGCAGATTTTGACTCAATTGTCATTTTAGGTAGAATGCCGCGAAAGGGCGGAAAAAGAAAGCCACCGTTGAAGAAGCCAACGCTCGGGCCTGCTTTGGATTCGTATTTCAATGGCAAATTTTTGATCTTGCTTAACGTACTTTTACTTGATTAAAGGTGGTTACCGGTGGTAAATGACAATACCGGAAAATTCTTGAGCCTTTCCATGGCAAAGTTATTGTTTAACAGCAAATATACTCTAACAAACTCATTACCTGCCTCTTTGCATTTTAGACGATGAACCAAAGCCTCGAGGAAGGAAACGAAAGCCGACTGAGCCGGTCGTTGACCTGAAAGGAGAAGCGATTCGATATGAGACTGACGAGGAATGCAAAGAAAGGTGAGTATGACCTACGGGTAATTATCGCTAATCGGGGTTTAGTCTAGTCACGGTTTAATGGCGCATAGTTGGTGGTGAACTTAGGCACAGATCCGTGTTGGGGTTGAGTGCTGCAAGCTCTCCGGGGAGTGGTTCGGGATGTGGGAGCTATTTTTAGAGAGTTTGCAGCACCCAACCGGGGCTTGCCTAAATGCAACCCCAACTAGACTGCACTCCCCGATAAGGGATAAGTACTTGATCTACGTTTGCGCGTTTTTGTTCTTACATATCTACTGTTCAGTTTTATAAGATAAGATAAGAATAGTTCTTAGAGGAAGAATATGTTTAGGTATTACTCAGTGATCGAACAAACGTTGCATGTGATGGGCGACGAACCTCGACCGCATCCCGAAAGTGTTGATCTTGCGTTTGGAGTGGCAAGTTCATCGATCAGCTACTTGCTTCAAGATGTCACACCTAGAGCAGAAAAGTAAGGGGGTCAATCATCGGAGCATTTAATTTAAACTTTAGCGCACTGCAACAAATCCTTCAGCGCATGAAGGCACGCCCCGACTTAATTGGACGCTTGTTAAGATATACAGAGGTAACGTCGAAATTTCACTCGCATCTAAATTTGTTTTTTGTAGGTAGTGGGAAATCTTCGCTCCTTGAAAGCTAACAACTCGCAAGCTTTCAATGCAAACAACGAATTTGACGATGATAGTGAAGCTTTTCAAGGGTAGGTTTTGTTTTTGTCATCTTTATCTGTTAATTCTTAACTTTAGCAGCACGAGCACAAATTATCTGCAAGAGCTTGCATCGGCGATCGATGCGCTAAAATGGGAAAATTTTGACGCTCAACAATTAATGGTGAAAATTTTTATAATGTCTAAAGATCAAAAAATGTCTTTAGATGATGGAGGATCCAGTTAGTGCGCAAAGGCTCGAGAAACTTGCAGCGAGAGTAAAAGATATGGAGATGGATGAGTACGAGGCATTAACGAGCGCCCGTCAGGCCACCTTTTGGACACTAGGCTTTGATTTAAACATCAAGAAAAGGTTTGTCGTTTTATATTACAACTCAAAAAGTTCAATTTTTCAGTACCATCGAGAGGAAATCGTTTCTGAATTGGATTGGCTGGGAGGAAGCACCGCAAATTATCGTCTTTGTGTTGAACTTTGTCGCGAAAGAAACCGTTAAACAGGTATGTTAGTTTTTCAGATATTTGACATACAGGTTATGGAAAGAATCGTTATGATTTTAGTTAGCCGATTTTGCGTCTCGTGTGATCGAGATGCAAAGGGACAAAGGAGAGCCGGTGATTCCATTTGACCCATCGATTTATCGCATGGCTTTCTTCCGGAGTGCGCGAGCAAGGAATGGCGACTTCATGTTTGGCGCATTGCCCAACGTCGATTAGTGGAATGTGAATATTTTTGCTGTGCATTTAACCTGATCTCATTTATTCTGGCAGCGATTTTATGAATCTGATGTCCAATTTTATTGGTTTATTACAGTATAAAGCTTGTTTTTCATTGATAAGAATTTTTAAATGCAGTTTTTTTTAGGTTTTTAAAGTGCTTTTCTGAATTGGATTGGCCGGGAGGAAGCAAGACAAATTATCGTCTTGGTTTCCAAAGTCGAGTTCTGTTTGCTTGCCTTCGAGTGAAAAAGCGTAACGGAACTCAGAGTCGCTTAAAATTACTAAAGCAATTTGGTGCTTTTACTTTTATCTATATTTAACACCAATAGAAATATTTATGTCATATCATTCCAATAACATACAACAATTGGGAAAGTAAATGATAGAAGTAAAAACAACAATGATAAAACAAAGCCCCAGAAAAGATTTCTACTGAAGTCCTCGTACGCGATCCGTTCGAACTTTTTCCGATTGTAGAGTCAATGCCTGGGCTCGCTTCGTCAATCGTTCGGCGCTTTCAATCACCTATAATCAAAGATTAAAAACGAACCCTTTTCAAAGAGTGCATAAAAAAAAAGAGTTCTTGTCTACCTGTTCGTGAATATTGCTCGTCTTTACTCCCATCACAACCTGCCCCAATTTCGAGTCGATCTTTGCTCCATCAATTCGGTAGTTAATGATCAAATCGACAATCCACCGCTCAGCTTCCTCCTAAACCACAAACATGCAAGATGTTTCATTAAACAATCAAATTCAATAACCCATAAGTTTCTTACCTGTTTCATATTGAGGCGTTGGGCAAGCATTTCAATGGAAATGCATTGGTGAATTCTGAAATTTATTGGTTCAGCCGGATCCGGGATTAAACGACTTACCGGCAGAACATCTCAAAAGTCAAAAGACGAGCCGACTCACGGAAATCCTCCAAACAAGCAGTAAGGAAGAAATCGTTTGAAAGGACCTTGAAAAAATACAACAGTTTCAGGTTTCCCAATTTTAGCTTTACCTTTTCACATTGTCGCAACTTTTGTTGCGCCTCATCAAAATCATATTTTATGTAGAGACACGTCAAGAAATCAGTCACAGGATCGGCATAATTATGTCGTTCCTTGAAAATTGGAGTTAAATGGGTATGCTGGATAAAAGCTTACAATATCAATGACTTTGATAAGATCTTTCAAGCTATTCTTCTGCTTATTCTTTGAAGTAACAACAGCGACAGCCAAATAACGAAGCAGGTGAGGACAGACAACCTACAAAAAAAATGAAAGTTCGAAAAAAATGCTTGAAACTTACTTGTATCGTGCTTAAATACGCTTGTTGATTGAGGCACAAGTCAATAATTTCATCTCGACCCTAAATGCCGTTAAAATGAAACAAAAGAAAGGTATGGGATACCTTTGGATAGTTGAAATAGACAAAGAGCGCCCAATGCATCAACCATGCCCGCTGTTGAACCAGTTCCCACTCGGTGTCAAACGGATTCGAGTCGATGTAAGCTCGCAATTTGACGAGATCATCTTTGGCGTGTTCCCATTCCTAAAATTAACATTTAAATGATGAATTTAGGTTACATTTTGGTAGTAATAAACTTCAGGGGCCACTTTCACTCGATTTAGTCAGATGTTTTTTTTGACTGTTTTACCAACATTATTTTACTTTTTCTGGTATAGTCAAGCATGATAAATCTATTGCTAATATTTTTAGAAAGTTTTGAACAATTTTTATTCATATTTTGCTAATCTAGCTAGAGTTTTGCCTCTCCCGTGTTGCTAAGCTTAAAAAATGAAGAGAGGGACAAAATACAAAGTGATAACTTGTCCAAAAATATCGTCAATTGATTACCCCAGAAAATACAAAACAAGATTAGAAAAAACACGCCTAGAATAGGGTCTGATCAAGTCGGGTCAAAGTGGCCCCCCGAAGTTTATTAGTGCCTACGTTTTTACTGTTTTCTCAAGGCTCAGAATCAAAGGGTACCTGTAGATTGATCTCTGATGCAAGTTTTCCATAAAGTGCATTTAAATAATTTGGATCGTGTTGTGGAATCAGATTTCTAAAATAAGTAGTTAAAAAATCATTTAACAAAGAACTAGCCTGTAATGGAAAAGAATGATGGACGCAGCCTGATAGTTTCCGCATTCGTACAAAAATTTCGCGTACTTGAAGAGAACGTCCAACATTTCCAATTTAAACTAAAGTTTTCAGTTGCTACTAGATGGAAAAGCCAAAGTTTACCCCGTGATTGTTTATCAAATGCTCCAAGATCTTCTGATTTCCGTCTCGTTCGCGTGTCGACTCGATGATGTCTTTCACAGACTCCGATTCAAGCAACTCGATTACCGGATCGACCTGAAACATGAAAGTTGGCTAAATTGAATTTTACGATCCAGAAGGTCTATTTTTGGTTTAAAAATTTCCCCTCTCATTATTTTTGTATTTTTTGTGCATAACTAGGCATAATAAAGCATAAAATCGAAGCTTGGGATGTATTTTGGCTCTGGGCCGTAAAGTTCAATTTAGCCTGAAAGTTTTAGTGTTATTTTAAAGCCTTCAGAAGAAGAAGGAGCTTCAGAAAGCCTCCAAATTCTTTTACCTGAGCCTTCAACTGCTCTCGCTCTGCAAGGATAGCATCTCGTCGTTGTTCAAGCTCGGCGGGCACTTGCTTTGCTGGGTAAGTTTCGATAATTGAATCGATCATATTCGTCTTCAGCAAAACCTTCCGATGCATCTCGATCATCGATTTTTCATCGAAAATCTAAAGAAAAACAATTCCATAAAGGCTAAACTAAACTAAAGGATAGTTTAACGTCTGCTGTTCAGTTAATAAATCAAATTTTAACAAAACGCTAACCTTTCGTGGTTCGATAAACTCGAGAAGCGGGATGATTAGATGGAGATCCAAAAATGGAGCCATCTTTTTCGTCAAATCAAATTCAGCCATGATGATGCCTAGAAAGTTGAAATTTAGAAATTTAGAAAGCAGAGAAGCAGCAAACAAGCAATAAGAGGAATTTTGACGGAAAACAGATAAAATGATATAATCTTAATGTTTTGATGAAGTTTGATGAAATTTTGACTGAGAACAAGAATGTTCTCAGTCAAAAAAACAAAAACAAGAGTCTAGTGCTATTTTCCGCTTTAATTCTGACAATTTTACATCACCACGAAAAGAAAAATGAGGGGGAAGACAGAAAGGAAACAAAATGGGGAATGTGTTCGTTTTTTGTGCCTAAAAACTTGAAATTTAGAAAGCAGAGAAGCAGCAAACAAGCAATAAGAGGAATTTTGACGGAAAACAGGTAAAATGATATAATCTTAATGTTTTGATGAAGTTTTGACTGAGAAAGAGCAAAAACAACAATCTATTGCTATTTTCCGCCTCAATTCTAACAATTTTACATCACCGCGAAAAGAAAAATGAGGGGGAACACAGAAAGGAGACAAAATAGGGAATGTATTCGCTTTTTGTATCGCCGCGTACACTCTTTGAAATTTATTTGTCTTTCATTTTTTTTGTTAGAGAAAAACGGCTGTAGTTCTTAAAAAAGCGTTAAGTCATGCTATTTTGAAATTTTATTTTTTTCTTTACTCTTTTAAAGTCTTTTGGGGTAGGCTAATTTCCGCCATTTTATTTGCGCAAGTACGTTTGCGCAACAAGGGTCATTTGCGCAAGTAGGTTTGCGCAACTTTAACACTCGATTAAGCACTAAGTTTTTTTATCATTATTTTCATTTTTGAGCTTTTTTTATTTTCTTCTATTTTTTTATGAAATCTTCCAATTTTTTTGCGCAATCTTCCAATATTTGTCTAAATTAGGCCTTTCTAGGAGCTAATAACCATTAGTAAAATATTTTATTGCTTTAACAAAAAAGTGCAACCGATAACAATGTCTTTTGGGGTAGGCTAATTTCCGCCATTTTATTTGCGCAACAAGGGTCATTTGCGCAACTTTAACACTCTATTAAGGACAACAATAAAAATCAAATTTTTTTAATATAAGTCAAAAGCTGAGAAAGATGTTGCACAAAATCGCAACCGGGCAAGCGACCATTAGAAATAGCAGTAAAACGTTGCTTTTGTCGAGCCAATACAGTTTTCTTCCGTACGTAGCTTTGTGCAACAGTGATATTGATAGCCGATGAAAGCTTGAAACAGTTGATTATTTGCATCATTTCTTCGTAAAGTCTGACCGCAGTATGAAACTTAGCGGGACTCGGCATAAAAACCGGACAAAGTTTCCGATCCCATCATGGAATCAAGGAAAATGAAAAGAATGGCAAAAGAGAATTTTTGTGCGGGTTACGGTAGCGCATCCACGCTTTAGAAAGCGCACCGCTCTGCTTTCGCGCCAGTCCCTTAAAAACGTCAAAAAGTTGCGCAAATAAAATGGCGAAAATTAGCCTACCCCAGTCTTTTAAAACATTTTAAAGTCTTTTAAACCCCCCCGCCGCCGGGGGGGGGGGGGGGGGGGGGGGGGGGGCCCCCCCCCCCCCCCCCCCCCCCCCCCCCCCCCCCCCCCCCCCCCCCCCCCCCCCCCCCCCCCCCCCCCCCCCCCCCCCCCCCCCCCCCCCCCCCCCCCCCCCCCCCCCGGGGGCCCCCCGGGAAGGGGGGCCCCCCCCCCCCTATAAAAACCTTTTAAAGCCTTTTAAAACCTTTTAAAGCTCTTTTAAAGTCTCAAATCGTTTTGGTTTCTCTATTTTACCACTACAATGTCGATTTTCAGAGAATGGACGAGGGACAATGGTGTTTGATCGAATCCGATCCCGGTGTCTTCACCGATTTGATCAGGAATTTCGGAGTGACTGGAGTGCAAATCGAGGAGCTGTATTCGTTGGATGATGAGGCGTGTTCGCACTTGAAACCGATTCACGGACTGATTTTTCTCTTCAAGTGGAGAGCTGGCGATGAGCCGATGGGGCAACCAGCGAAGGATACCGATCAGATCTACTTTGCGCAACAGGTGAGATTTTTATGGGTACTGAAATTTGCTGAAATGTGATAAGAGTTATTAGGTAAGGGATTAGCTAGCTCTTTTGATAGCGTGGAGAAAAATTGGTGTTTAACGTAAACTAGGCATTACCATGCTATTGGTGCTAACTAAAACTAAACTAAACTAACTAAACAATGACTTTTTATGATAGTGGGGCTATACGGGGTCTCGAAAATGCCTCTGGCAAGTGCCAAAAACAGGTTTTCTAGGGTTTTCGGTCACGCTGAATCGATTGGTAATATTAGGTTGACAACTTGAAAGTTGGTACGCTTATTCATTGCACTTTTTAGAAATAACTAGTACACCAATTAATCTGCCCTTTTTACCAATAAAAAGGGCTATTTGTTCTCTAAAACAGGCTTTTGACAGATTTCGAAAAGCTTCGGTTTTCTAGGTTTCTAGGGGGCAAGAAGTTGAGGAGCCAAAAATGATGAACACTCGATGAAGCGATAACAACTTTAAAAAAATAACAAATTATGAATCTACGCCATTAAAAGCCCTAGAAGTAAAAATTAGTGCGCTCTGACTCAATAGAGATGATGCACACTGCCTCCCCTCAACTACTATAGCACCTAATATTCTTCTGTTTTAGGTGATCACGAACGCGTGTGCCACTCAAGCGATTATCAACCTTTTGTTCAATGTGAACCACGAAGATGTGAAACTTGGTCAGATTCTCTCCGACTTCAAGTCATTCACAAAGGATTTCACTCCCGCCGATCGAGGACTCGTGCTCGGCAACTCGGAACAAATTCGCACCGTGCACAACAGTTATGGTCGTACGCAATTGTACGAGGTTCTTCAACCGCCGCCAACGAAAGACGATGATATCTACCATTTTGTCGCTTATGTCCCAATAAAGGGGAAAGTCTACGAATTGGACGGAATGCGAGAGTCGCCACTTGAAGTTGGAGTGATCACTGATGGGCAAGAATGGATGGATGTGGTGAGACCGGTGATCAATCAACGAATTGCAAAGTTTTCGCAAGGAGAGATTCATTTCAATTTGCTTGCTATGGTCAAAGACCGCAAAATGAAGCTTCAGGAACAGTTGGAGATTTTGGGCGATGCGGCTGATCCAACAGAGGTTAGTTTTAATTAAAATTATGAAACCAGAAAGAACAATGATATGATGTTTTTTGTTCAGATTGCTCATCTGCACGAGGAATTGAACGCCGAACATGAAAAGGATGCACGACAGAAGTTGGAGAATAAACGACGCCGTCACAATTATATTCCATTCATCGTCGAATTACTTCGTGTGCTTGCAAAAGAAGAGCTATTGGTGCCGCTTGTCAAGGTAAGAAAATTTCAAACCTTTATCTCTTGGAAATACTTGGTGACATGATTCATAACATTAAATTTAGGAATCGATCGAGAAGCGACGGGTTGAGGAAATCGCCAAGAAACAAATCAAAACCGAAATGAAAATGGAATAATCGTCGTTTACGAACCTGCCTATTTATTGTGATGCAGTGTTAATTTTGTATTTTATCCTTTTCTGTTTCAATTGGTGTTTGCTTCGTGTTAAGTCGTGTATAAATGATTTAAATTACAGATATTGCCGATGAATCTGCGATGAATTTCATCAGAAATCGGAGTAATCTACATTGGGGAGGTGGAGGCGATGCGAAAGGTGAATGTTTGTTGTTTATGAAATCCGGTGAAGGGAACCAAGCATCATCTTTTCGATCAATATCATTTTGTGTTTAGCGCATTCGAACCAGGATCGTGTGAACAATGGACCGTCAACAAGCAAACAAATTTCACCCCATTCAACGCCTTTCATGCCAAAAACCGAGGATCCATTGGCATCAGCAATGCTGGGATTGGCTGAGTAAGTTGAGGCAGTTTAGTGAGAAAAACTTGTGTATAATGAAACGGCAACTAAATGAACAGCCATTTATCTCCTGGTGATATTGAATTGTTTTAGGATGGCCACGAAGCTCTTCATTGTTCATCCATGTAAAGTGTTGCGTCGACAATGTCAGGTTTATTCATTCTTTTTATCAAAAGATTTATCTTGTTTAGGTACATCAGCATGCTCGGTCTATCCATCTGACACCAGTGACTTTGATGCCTGTCATCTTCAATATGACAAGCAAGGAGGTATGAATTTTGCATTTTCTATTGTGACATAAAGGTTTTAGGGTATTCTCACATTATGGAAGGGCTCAATTGGAAATGGAGTACTATGGGGTCTCACTTCAGTCACCGAGATCGTACTCTCGGATGTTTGTGGATTACCAAAGTGAGCGCATTTAACACAGCGCTTTCTAATTTTAACATTTTTCCAATTAAGGTCATTTGTCCCTGGTGGGAGCACGGAAAAGTTCTGGAAACATATACTTTTAAAAGCTGTATCGACTTTTGTAATGACTCCATTTTATATCTCTTCATTTATTGAAACTGTTCGGGTGGGTTATTAAATATTTTTCAAAATTATAGTTCATTTTAGAGTGAGAGCGGTGCTGGTGCTGATGAGAATCGGGTAATGGAAGTGATTGTCAAGGGTGTTGATAGAATGAGGTAAGGGTTAGGGAAATGGCCAAAAAAAAAAATTGGTAATTTTTAGGTTCTTCGCATTTGGTGCTCGAGACGCGTCTCGTCGTTTCTCGATTTTGCATCTCGCTGTTCCTACGGTCTGTCACACTTTGGTAATTTTTTTTTACAATATCAATTACAGGTAGCATTTCACACATCTCATTATTTGGTCAAGACGATGCTCTATCAATATCTTTATAATATGGCTCGGCGATATGTGGTATGTGATCTTAGCTTAAATAAATACCTACGAAATTCAGAACCGCAAGCCTGAATCGGACAGATCAACTTTTCATGAATTTGTGCCACTCATTTTCGCTCAAATGACTTCCTCTGTGTGCACCGATCTTATTTTGTTTCCTTTTGAGACAATTCTTCATCGGATGTACATTCAAGGTTTGAGATGCTTTGTTTGTCTGATCTACTTGTTTTTTTTAGGGACTCGTACTCTCATTGATAATTTGGACACTGGACTGTCCGCAGCTTCGATTACTATCAAATACAGCGGCTTTTTCGATTGTTTACAACAGACCGTGAAACGAGAAGGATTTTGGGTACTATATGCGGTGAGGAGTTTTGCTGTGGATTTTAAAAGCTTTTTGCTTATAGGGTGCGGGGGCTCTCGTCTTGGAATACATGCTCCAATCGATGCTTCACCAAGTAGCCCGGGCTTGTTTTGATCGTGGAAGTGAAGGTAAAAAAAGTTGATCTTACAAAAACTTTTGGTTTTAGCTCTTCGTCGTGCCACTCAAGCGCATCATTTTACGACAACGCCTCCTCTATCACATGCAGCTAATCTGGACACTATTGGGTTTGTATATTCTTTATGCAACAGCTAGTTCAAGTGTACATTGCGTAGATTTTAGGCCTCTATCTGGTCCACTCGCCATTCAACAAATGCCTCCACAGGACTATTATTCGAGTGATGAGTCAGCACCGGTTATTGGCAGTCCAAGCAGGTAAACGACACTTCATCGGTTTTTTTTATAATTGTTTATTTAGAGCGATACCCATATCTACGACGGCTCCATCGGTTCCATTCTCCACAGCTTCTCCGCCACTTCTCTCCTCGCCTCCAATGCCACGAACACCAAAGAGAGATGCTCTCTCGTTTCCGTCTTTTGGTGAAACGAGTGGTACATTCCATGGAGCGCAGTCGACTGGCTCTTTCGGCAACCCACCGCACCAACCACCAAAGTATGGAATTGATTACGTTTATTAAGAATTGACATCATGTCATGAAAAAAGTCGCAAATAAATATAGCTTCAAGAGTTCTTTGACAATAATTAAATTTCATTTTTTAGGTCATCCATATTTGGTCGTAACCCATCAGCTTCAACCACATGGGACACTCTACCACCGCTCCATCTCGACACAAACAACCAATTTCAATGAGAAGACGTTTATTTTCGTATTGCTGATTTTGTATTTGTAGGCTACCTGCTTTATTTATTATCTAGGTTTATAGATTTTAGTCATTATTTTGTGTTCTTTAGTGCAAATCTTAAGATTAGCAATAAATCATTCGTATTCGATTATAATTTTTTTGATATCGAAATCTTGTCGGTTATTCGATACTTCAAGTTTTTAAAAATCTAGAAAATCTTGTAAAAGCTCGCGATTTTTTGATCGATGTATCGATGTTGATTTTAGTTTTGGCTAACTCTATTCGATAACGGCCCAAGATGGGAGACAATTGGGGTGAGTTGATACCTATTGGCTGGAAGGAAATTTTGTATACCAAAGACGCTGTTATTTTAGATGATGAGGATTTTGAGCCTGAAGCTGTAGCCCCACCGCCAGCTCCCGTTGAACAACCAATCGACACTCATACGGTAAAGTGTTTTCAAGTTTAAGATAAACTTGTATTTTCAGGTTCCTGCACCACAACCTCAAACGAAGACAAAACCGAAGTATGGGGACACCAAAGAGGACAAGGTAAAAAGAAAGTAAAAAAATTGACGATAATAAGCCTTTAGACTTATGTGTTGGAAGATTTGGGCCGAGAGCTGACCTACGCTGAACGAGAAGAAATGCAAAGGTTTGTTTTTAGAATTGCTGTTAATTATTGATTTTTTTTTTTAAGGAAGGTCGATAGAGCGTTTGCACGTGAGCTACTCGGAGCTGATGCTGGCGAAGAAGAAGAGGATTGGAAAGAAGCTGCAACCAAGGTAAAAAGACGTTTTCTAAAATAATGAAAAGTGTTTTTAGGAGGAGTTCGAAAAATGGGGAGACAAGATTGCCAAGTGGGCCACTCAGCGACACAAGGCTGCGCATTATGGAGACTTCCTCTCAAAGTTGTTAATAGGCATCTCGGGAGATTGTATGTTGTTCAAATATTTTTCATTATTGGCCTCATTTTAGTGGAGGCGACTGATATCCGAAAAATGTCGAACTTGTTGAAGCAAATCGCCGATGATAAGAAAAAAGAAACCGATAAAGCAAAACCGGTTGCTGTGATTGGCAAGAAAAAGGCAAAAGCTGCCGTCAAATCAACAGGTAGTTTCTATTGGGCAGATAAAAACTAAAAATTGTGATGTTGAAGTAGAAGTAAATGAGTTTTCATTTACTTCAACACTTTAGCGATTTTCAAAACATACCTAGTGATAAGTATTGTTCTTTGTATTCGCAGTATTTTTTTACTTTAGGCGGGAAGCAGAAGGACGATTTTGACGATTTCGGTGCTGGCGGTGGTTCTGGATGGAGAAACGAGGAAGATGAAGACTTTATGTAGTCATTTTCTCAAGACTTTCCTTTTTTTGATAAATACTGATTCACTTTTGGCTTGAGCATTGCTATATACTTTTTGGTTTGATGGTTTGGTTTTCAAAAAGGGAAATTGCGTCACCGTTACTTGTTATTTTATATGCCTTGTGATGAATAAAGAATTTTATTTAATCTCGTTAAAAAATATTTGAAGTAATGAATGACTGAATATCGACTTTAATAAAAAGTAAAGTAAAAATATTTGGGGTGGGACCGCAGGATCATCCAAACTTTTTAATGTCCTTTGATGGTTTAGCTTTAAAATTGTGCAATTTTACAAGGGATGGTCAAATGACATAAGCCATTCGACGCAGAATTTCACACTGAATCCGAATTTGCTTTCCGTTTTTGCTAAACGCCACTCTGTTAAAAGTTATAAGCGTGCAAAGTTTTGTATGGGTTTTGAAAAATCACACCCCCAGCTTATAAGCAGATTTCTCAGAGACTTTAAGAAGCAGTGATGGCCGAGTGGCAGTGGGTTAAGGGATACAAGGCAAACCATCTCGAGTTTGAGTTCGGCGTTCTACTTTTTTTATTTGACTTTTTTGGATTTGAAAAGTTAATTGTTTTCCACTTCAAATAAAAGTTGATTTTAAAATATTTCTCATAAAAAGGTTTACTGACTATCGTTAAACTAATGATTTATTAATTATGTTTAACTAACTATTTACTAACTATGTTTAACTATCGAATGAAACTCGCTCATTGTCATTAATGTCGAAGTCTTGTTTTTTTTGGTTTTTAATGATAGCTGTTTGATGTTAATTGTTAAAAGTAAACATTTTTATGAGAAGTAGTTTAAAATAAACTTTTATTTGAAGCGGAGATCTGAACGATTAACTTTTCAAATCCAAAAAACAGAGTGCCATTTAGCAAAAACGGAAAGCAGATTCGGATTCAGCGTGAAATTCTGCGTCAAATGGTCTATGGCTCGTGTCATTTGGCCAGCTCAGCCTTGTGATCTTCGCTTTTTAGTTTTATGAAAGTGTTTTAAGTTATCTGAAAGCAAATTATTAAACTTTAGCTACGTTTAGATATGTCCAAGCCATTGGTAGATCTAAAAGACCTCATTCTTAACGGGGATCCTGAGATATTCAGATGGGAGGACGATGAAATAGGTTCGTTTTTCGTTAAGACTTCTTTAATTTAAAATACTATAAAGGATAATTATCCCTTATCGGGGAGTGCAGATGAATATCGGAGCGGCCCTCTGGTCGCAGTTTAATGATGCATAGTTGGAGGTGAACTTGGGCACATGTCCGGGTTGGGTTTGGGTGTTGCAAGCTCTCTGGGGAGTTGGGGATGTACCTGAGCAATTTTTAGAGAGCTTGCAGCACCCAACCACAACCGGGGCTTGCCTAAATGCAGCCCCAACTAGACGGCACCCTCCCCCCATGATAAGGGATAAGTACCCAACAAAGTTTTTGGAAAATAGACGCTATGAATTGAGTACTGTGTTTAGAGAAAGATGCACAAGATTATGGACCAAATTATGTGGTTTATTTTTAGCTCTTCGTGCCGCTGCCTCGAATTCTCGACTGCCATGGAATCAGCTATCAGAACACGAACTGGAAGTAAGCTTTCCATTTGAGAAACTTCAAATGGATGATTTAGTTCTTTCCTGAGGTGAAAAAAGATTTGGCGGACACTCAAACGTACCTTTTCATTCGCAATAAAATAGTGAGTTTTAGCTAGAGTTGTAAAATATTTTATTCCCAGCTTCAACTGTGGCTTCAAGAACCGAATGTCGAGATGAAAATCGAGGATGCCTTGCAACAAATGCCCTACCCGTACAACAGTGAGGAAATTTTTGAGGTACTTATCGGAAACCAGGGGCCCCCACTTTATTTTTTTACTCAAACCCATTTTTTCTAGGGTAATTCGATGCGTTGATCACGAATTTCATAGTGGGCCATTCTGAAAAGGCATTTTGACCGGGTTTTGTGGGTCAGAAGGTCAGAAGCCACCACCCCTAAAGTGTACTGTACACTCCTGCAAGTATAGAGTGAGCTCAAAACAAGATTTCAAGGATTTAGCCTTTATCAAAACTACTTTTCTAAAGTTTTTTCGAGTTATAGATACGAATTTGGTGAGATTAAACCAGAAAAAAATTGAAAAGAAAATTTAGAATTTTTCTTGTTTTTCATCCATGACCCCCTCATGACCACACAATTTTCATTTTTTGTTTTTTCTAATCTGATTTGGCTAGAATTGCACTCAGGACTCTAAATCACCCGAGAAAAATTAATTTAGCGCAAAATATTCAGTCCTAACAGCTTATTTCGGCCGTCTTATAGAATTTCACAGTGGAGTACACTTTAGAAGGGGTGGCTTCTGACCCACCAAATCCAGTCAAAATGCCTTTTCAGAATCTCCCACTATGAAATTCGTGATCAGCGCATCGAATTACCCTGGAAAAAGCGGGTTTGAGCAAAAATAAAGTGGGGCTCCTGTTCCCGATAGGTACCAATTTCGATTTGACTTAAAATTTTCTTTAGCAACGACTTGGTTGATCCGACGGGTTCATGCTTATCTCATTCGATATGGGTATATCAACTATGGAAAGTACTTCAAATTAAAGGGTGCGTTAGAAACTTTACAAATAGCTAAGAACCAAAGTATGGTTTAGGAATAACAAAAGTGAAGCATCGCGTGTTGATCATTGGGGCAGGCGCCGCGGGAATGGCCGCCTTTTCTCAACTCGACTCATTTGGATTTGATGTCCAAGTGCTTGAGGCACGAGTAAGTTTTGAGTTAGATAACTTTCGATTTCAAATCTTCAAATTCAAAGTCTCATTTTAGAACCGAATCGGTGGACGAATTCATTCCTTTGAAAATCAAAAGACGAAAGGATGCGGTGAATTGGGAGCCGCAAATATTATGGGATTTGGTAAATTTTTGAAGACTTGATTTACCTTAAACTCGAATTTTAGCTGGCAATCCTTTGTCCGTTTTGGCTCGGCAGAATTCGTGTGTGTTGAATGCGCTCAGTGATCGAGAGGTGATGTTTGATGAGAAAGGACAACCGCTTAATGAGCATACTGATCGAATCACGGGAGATCTTTACGTGTGAGTGCATAAATTTGAATACTTGTACTAGAACAATTCTTTATTGCTATTTAGAAAGCTTATGAGCTCAGCGTCATTCTTGTCAGATGTGAAAGGAATCGGACATGTTGGAGATGAAGCTCTATCACTCGAAAGTTTACTACAAAACCTATTGAAGTGAGTGTGTTGGCTTTCTAATGTTTTATTGCTTTTCAGGCTCGTCGAATTGCAACAGTCTCGAACGATGGAGAAGTTCTGGGAAACGTATCTCGAGATTGTTGGTAAACGAATGCAAGTGATCGCTGAGGTTTTTTATATGCAGAATTTTATTCGATCTTATTCTTTAGCAATGTCTATTGAAAAAGACATGCACGATACTATATGCAAAGTTGCAGCGACTAGAACAACAGAGTCCAAAAGTGAGTTAAAACCTATAACTTTTGGAGTAAACTGTTCAATTTTAGCTGGATCCCGAAGAAGCTTTAATAAACGATCTACTCGCTCGGTGTCATCGAAAGGATATTTCAGACGCGGTTGTGGTAAGGATTCTTCTTCTTCTGGTCTAATCAATGTACTTACTGCTTTCAGAAACTCGACGAACTACAACGAAAAATGAGGAGCATCGAGGAGAAATTGTTCAATTTGAAACAATTAGAGGCCAGGTAAAACAATTTGATTGACTTTTTTAAGTGGAGATTTAGGGAAATCGTCATTGGAAAAGAGCACCGACGATTGATGGATCATTATTATGCAACGCTGGAGGTAAATTTTACGACACAATATTAAATTTTTCATTTTATCATTTTATCTAGTATGCCACTGGGGCTCCGCTCAATAAACTCTCATTGTTGCATTGGAATCACGATGATTCGCACACGATAAAGGGATCACATATGACTGGTGAGGTTATTTTGAATTCTAATTAATTCAAATGTTTTTTTCTTTTCTAATGCAAATTGATTCTTTTAGTAAGAGAAGGATTTCGCAAAATACTAGCTCCATTAGAATTGACAAAGAATGGACAGAACAAAATCCGCTTCAATCACATTGTTCGCGAGATCAAGTACAATGATGATGGTAATTGTTATTTTATGAAATTTCTCAACTAAATGGCTCTAGGTTGTGTTTTAATTGTCGATGTCCCGAAGACGGAAAATTCACAAGAATACGAACGAACTGAGTTTAAGGCCGACGCCATCATTTGCACAATTCCCATTGGTATTTTTATTGAACTCACTATTAAACAAAGGGTATTTAGCAGCAGTAGCATTTATTTAGCATTGTTATTTTTCAGGAATTCTGAAGAAAAGTGTGGCCAAAGAGAATGGGGTCCCGATTTTCACGCCACCCCTACCCGAGCAAAAGATTAGCGCTATTGAAACGATCGGTGCTGGACTTGTCAATAAACTTTTTCTGGTAAATTTTCAACAACTTACAATCATTTTTTAAATTCAGCTCTTTGAGCGGCCCTTTTGGGAGAATCAAATCGATCATTTTGGCTATTTCGGATCTCTGACCAAAACAGAGTGAGCTAAAAGTTTTCTTTTTTTTTATAGTGATTTTATTACTTTAGACGATCTCGTGGCGAATTCTTCTCATTTATGGTGGCCAACGATTCACCAACGCTGGCCGGACTTCTTTCAGGAGATGCGGCTAATTTAAGTAAGTGGTTTTGTTAAAGATTTGGATAAAATTTTGATTTAGCAACACAAATCGCTCCGGAACTTTTGGCAGCACGTGCGATGGCCGTTTTACAGAAGATTTTCGGTGGATCGACTCCGAAAGAGGTAAATGGATTTAATGTAATAAGGTAAAAGTATCACGAATATTTAGCCAGTAGCAGTTCACGTCTCGAAATGGCACGAGGACCCTTATGCAGCTTGTGCTTTTAGCTATCTGGGAAAGGAGGGATTGCGTGCGTTTTTCAATGATTATTTATCGAATGAAAAAATATATTTTAGCCGAATTGTACGATATTTTGGCCGAGCCCGTGACTCCTGCTGACGAGGTGAAAGAAGGAGAACCATCGACGACAAAGCGCGTTCCACGGCTCTACTTTGCTGGCGAGCACACATCAAGGTAATTTTCATGAGATTGCGGTGAAATTATGCTACACCGTTTCTTTTCAGGCAATACCCCGGTACAGTTCATGGCGCTTTTTTGACGGGTTTACGCGAAGCTGCTCGAATTGCGGACACATTTTTGGGTAAACGTTTTCTTAATATCAAAGTTAGCTAAGTTAGCTGAAGCATAATTTTGCACAGGTCAAACTCTCAAAACAATTTTAAACTATTTAAAGCTAGATGTTTTTCATTTGCTTTTATTGTTTTCAGGTCAAAAGGAATTCCTCTCGGATGTGGTGCCTGAGTGTGTGACTCTTGACTCGGACGAGGAAGAAGACGAAAAAACGAAACAATAAACAGGCTTTTGTGGCACAATTTCTGTTGATTTATAGGCAGTTTAGTGTAAGCTGACCTCTTTTTTTGAAAATATTTATTTATCAAGTGATTCGGGTTATATTTCTCATTTTGATCTCTTTCATTTATGCGTTCGAAATTTTCGTTTTCTTTTATAAATGTAAATAAATTGTGTATTTGTACTGTGAATTTGTGTACTTTTTAAATGAAATTCAAATTGGTTCTTAAATAAACCAAAAGATAATTTGAAGAGTTGTAAATTTAAAGAAAAAGAAGTGCAATATTGAAGGAAATGGCGTTCAATTTCACAAGAAAAACGTTTTTCTGGTTGAGCAGCGGGCCGAAAATACGCTTTATCATAAAACGTAAACAAAGTTGGAAAATTTGCAGTTGATATCGAGATATCGAGATTGAAATTGTTTCCATTCCAATTTCTTATCACTGCCTCCTGGTTGAGCTTTTTTTATGCAAATTTCTCATGATTCACACTGGCAGAAATGATGGATGGATGATGGGAAATTTCAGGGAAAGGAGTTCAAAGATTGCAGTGAAAAAGAAAATAACTATACAGTCGATAAACGAAAGCCGAAATCGTATTGTAAGCCTTTTTCCTTTTCAGATTCTCACCGTTTTCCTGAGAAAAACGAGGCGAATCAACAACTCGATCGGTTGATTACCTCAAAAACTCGAATAGAACAGGCACCTATAGGAGCATCGCGTAGTCTACTCTCAAGCAAACGCTCATATCTTGACACGAGTACGTTTGTTTCTGCGCACTTGGGCATCAAATTAAAGTAGAGTGAATGGGTTGATTTTTTTAAAGATATAACACAGAAATTTTCGCGTCCGCTTAGGCTCTACTTTTTCGAATGACTTACCCATTAGTAGCGGAGTGCCCCAAGCGAGCGTTCTTGGTCCTCTTCTTTTCCTTATTTATATTAATGGCATTAGTTCGTTCAGTTCAGTTCAGTTCGAAGGCAAAAAAAGATTTCGACTCTACGCCGATGACCTTAAAATGACCGCCGAGGACCTTAAAATGAGCGCCGAGGACCTTAAAATGAGCGCCGAGGACCGTACTTTCGTTCCAGAGCCCCATCCTTGATTTTACTCTTCTCCAGAAGGATCTTTATTGATCTTGATCTTGATTCGATCATTGTGTGGAGTAGATTTTAGAAACTTAACATCGCACCGGACAAATGAAAACACGTTACGTTTTGCTTCATTAAATATCCCTTTAAATTTGGGGGACCTACAATTGGCACAAGGATTCGCTGATGATCCTGTAAAAGATCTCGGTTTACTGTTAGTTTCATCTCGAAAATTTGATCCCTCACATAAACTACATTTCCCAAAAAAAAAGCTTCTAGAATTTCTAGCAATAATACTTTGATAAATGCCATTTGTTTCCCTAAAATCGCGATTTATCGCAGGGCTTTTTATATTGCCTTTTTGATATTGCTATTGCCGACGTTTTCTCGAGTATGCCACCAGGAGTTTCTAGATGTTTCTAGATGTTTCTAGATGTTTCTAGATGATCAGGAGTTTCTAGATGGTGGCATACTCGAGTCCACGAGTCACCTTCCATTAAGAAACTTATCACCTTGATTTAAAAATGTTCAACGGCGTTTCATCAAAAGAAAAAAGCATACACTCATTGTTTCCCTTTCTTAAATGCGTTTAGACTCCGGCTGCTTGACTTTGACATAGTGACAAACAAAAGCTGCTAAAAGTGACAGTGACAAACAAAAGCTGCTAAAAAAAGCATACACTCGTTCTTTTCCTTCTTCTCTTGTTCCAAATTATGAGACTAGGATTATAGTTTTTTTTTTTTTTTTCGATTTAAAACCCCCTTTTTATATCGCCGTATTTACTTTGCTCTTATTTTTTTTTGTTTCCTATAAATTCTTGGCTTATTCTTAGCCGAAAATTCTTAGCCTAAAATTCTTTTCCACCCTAAATCGCATCCAGAATCGCATTTTCAAAACCTGTTGAACATTGTGGAAATTGTGGAAATTCGTTTCCCGGAAATTCCTAGAAATACACGTAGTGATCCGTATCAAATATTTCAAATTTTGGATCTTTTCTCATCATCCCCATCATCTTTCCCCTTTATCTCTCTTTTGCGAACCGTATTTGTAGGGGTTTAGAATAGGCTCTCGTGTTGTAGCAATCTCGTCTGCGGTTATGATTATCCGACTCGTTTCTATTCGCCCCATGATTAAAGCAAATATATATATATATGTTGTGTCCGATTTAGATTGACGTCCGATTTAGATTCAATCTATATCGGACGCCCGATTAGTCGTCTTTCGGACGTTCGTTTAGATCCAACTAAATGGACGTCTATAGATTGAACAATAAATAAACATGCATATATGTTCTTGCGTTTTCTGTGTTTTCGCATTTTTCCGGTCTGTTCTGCCTTTTTCTGAAAAGAAAACCCCAACTATGAAACAATTTATTAGCGTAAACAGAATAGATGCCAAATTACAACATACAACAACAACAAAACCAACAACAAAACCAACAACACAACGAACGTTAAAAATTTCTATTTATTTTTGCGCTTGGCTATTGTGACATCTTGAATTGCAGAGTAGGCCATCCTTTTTGCACGAGCATCGATTGGATGAGCATTTTCCAGCAAATAAGCAATGCTTATGGCCTAATGGAACACGCAAAAAATGAAATAAAGTTATAGTTACTTGCCTTGTTTCCCGTGAATAGAAGGAATCACCGATGGAAGAATTTAAAATGCAAAAACGAGGATGCCGGTGCGTTCCGTGTGCGCGTGCCCAAGCGCACTCGATCTGGCATATTGCACTAGCAGATATCGTAATTTTTTCGCTCGTCCAATCGGAAGCGTCCATTTTGGGTCATCCCGTAGCCAATCCGTTGTCTGCCCCGTATGGTCACCGCTTCCCAAACCTAACTTCGGCTGTAGAATTGGCAAACCCAATTCCGGCTCATTTTGGCCACAATGGTGGGTTCTCCGCCGGTCGAAATGGGATCCCAAGTGCCTGTAAAAGGGTGCTGAAGGGAGCCGCTGTGAATTTTTGGATTCATCCCAAGGATTTCGGTCCGCAGGGGCAGCAAAAAACTCAAGAAACGACACTAGGCTTCAGCGGTTGGCTGAAGACACTAGAGGGTGTTCTAAAGAAAAAATCCACTTGGGGTCAAATTTTAACTTGAACTTGACTCACCCCAATTACAAGGCCAGACAGGACCGAGAAAAGCAAATGGTTGGACGCCCCTAGACCCACTCATTCATAATCGACTACCGGGGTCCCGCCAATTTTGAACGAAACGCTGTAAAGCCCGCAATTTTTAACCTAAACTCACAAATTTGATACAAATCGACGCAGAATTGAATTCCCGACAAAATGATATAATATTTAGAAATGGGTTCCTCTACTAGAAAGGTTTACCAAAAAATTTCATTCATAATCAGCTACGACACAGATATTTTGAGGGAATTCCTTATATATCTATTGTAGCATTTGCTCTGCTATTCTTCACTGTCAGAAGTTCTTTCTTTACTTCTCCAAACCTTTGCACTCGAAGAACTTTCCTTTTGCTCTCGTAGACAAAATAGGCAACAATGACAAGACAAAAGGAGAGGAAAAGAATGAGAAAAGAAGAGGTTGATTCCTTCTCATTGACCGGGAAATTGCAGGGAGATCATTTCATTAGAATTGAGAATCAAAATAAAATGCCCCCGTGATTTCTTTGAACCATTAACACCAAACCGGCTAAAATTTAAGTTACCATAATCAACTTAGCCACTCAAACTCGATCTGACTAACTTTCGACCTAAATAAGCAAAAGCAAACCAAGCAGTGGCCATTGTTTTGTGCTATATTGACGGGATTCGGTCAGTGACGTTGAATCTGAATTCTCTTCGTTGATGCCCGTTCCTATCTTTTCCTGGATATTGCAATTCTAACCGTAAGGACGGACATGTCTTTCACAGGATCCCCGCTCATAAACATATTCATCAGTGAGCGCATTTGACTCACAAGTCGAATCCCTCGCAATCACCATACATACAAACTGAGAAAATTTTTTTATATTGTGACAATTATCAAAGGAGTCAGTTGTACAAATATTTGAGATCAAAAAAATATTCATTTTAATGAATGGCAGAACAGGCTTTAGGAATTGAGTTCTAAAAATGATTAGAACTTTAATTGCGATGAGTGAACAAAGCTAATCAATGTATCTGATCAAATTCCCAAGGCATCGTAAGATATTGAGTTTCCGATTCGAGAGGAAAATTTATGATGCGAATCTCTACTTTTAATACCTGGAAGAAGTAGATTGCATCTTGCCAAATGAATGAGTAAAACGACCTACACTCAATTACTTACACTGGGATGTTCGTCCCAGCATTGTAGAGAGCAAAGCTTGGCGAGGACGTAGGGAGGCTTCGGTAGAAAACCATTTTACATCCGCCGTATAAACCAGATATTTGTCTACCTAACTATCGCTTATTTAAAACTATACAACTTTCTCTAGATCTTTTTATATTGGATTGGCGCTTATGAAACGACGGATTTTTCAAAGAGTTCAAGTTCTTTGAATTTCATGTTTTTGCTGCCCCTGCGGACCGAAATCCTTGGGATGAATCCAAAAATTCACAGCGGCTCCCTTCAGCACCCTTTTACAGGCACTTGGGATCCCATTTCGACCGGCGGAGAACCCACCATTGTGGCCAAAATGAGCCGGAATTGGGTTTGCCAATTCTACAGCCGAAGTTAGGTTTGGGAAGCGGTGACCATACGGGGCAGACAACGGATTGGCTACGGGATGACCCAAAATGGACGCTTCCGATTGGACGAGCGAAAAAAATACGATATCTGCTAGTGCAATATGCCAGATCGAGTGCGATTGGGCACGCGCACACGGAACGCGCCTCGTTTTTGCGTTTTAAATTCTTCCATCGGTGATTCCTTCTATTCACGGGAAACAAGGCAAGTAACTATAACTTTATTTCATTTTTTGCGTGTTCCATTAGGCCATAAACATTGCTTATTTGCTGGAAAATGCTCATCCAATCGATGCTCGTGCAAAAAGGATGACCGACTCTGCAATTCAAGATGTCACAATAGCCTAAGCTGCAAAAATAAATAGAAATTTTTAACTCGTTCGTTGTTGTTGTTGGTTTTGTTGTTGGTTTTGTTGTTGGTTTTGTTGTTGTTGTATGTTGTAATTTGGCATCTATTCTGTTTACGCTAATAAATTGTTTCATAGTTGGGGTTTTCTTTTCAGAAAAAGGCAGTAAAACAGAAAAAGACAGTAACAGACCTTTGAAAAATGCAGAAAACTACAGAAAAAGGCTTAAGAACATATATTAAGCATGTTTATATTATTGTTCAGTCTATAAGATTTAGATTGAATCTAAATCGGACGTCCGATATAGACTGTAATCTAGAGTTCGGCAAACAAAACCAAAATCAAAACAGACCAAAACCAAAACCAAAACCAAAACTCAATAAATTAAAATGTAAATTTCTAATTGTAAAATGCAAATTTGCCTTTCACTTTTCCTCACTCCCCAAAATCCCGCGGCCGAAAAAAGGACCAAAACACGACCTCGAAATTTCGAAACAAAAAATAGCCTATGGGATAGATTTTTGGACGCTGATTTCAAATCTGCAACTTTTCCTGCTCCTCCCAATCGCGAGATATTGGCGAGTTTTGGTTAGTTTTGGTTTTGGTTTTGGTTTTGGTTTTGGTTAAGTTTTGTTTTCCGAAGTCTACTGTAATCTAAATCGGACGTCCGATATAGATTGAATCTAAATCGGACGGAAATCTAGATCGAACACAACATATATATATATATTTAGCATTAACCAGTTCGTAGAAAAAAATGAAATTGAAAATTGGCGAAAATTCCAGTACTTTCCTGTGCATTTCCTAATGATAGCATTTGCTTTTACCGCTCCCATACCGCTTATCGCTGCTCCCATAGGTTCAAAACTGATGCCAGAGGGCTTTGCGTGTTTTTTCAGTACTCTAACGATATCAAAAAACCTTTCAAAAATTTTGATTTCAATATTTCATAGCTTTTCAAATTTATTATCTAAAGTAAGAAAAAAAATTGGGTAAATTGTGATAGTAAAATAGATTTCGAATCAAATCAAAAAAAAATGAACGGAAAAAGAGAAAAAGAAAATATTTTCACATTCAAATGGGCAAAAGAAAATCGCGAATACTGAAATAGAAATCTAGAAGGGGGGAAAACATGAAATTCAAGTATTTTTATCAAAAAAAAGTAAGGCACGGATAAAGAAAAAATAAGAAGGGAAAACGGAGATTTCTCAATTTTAGGGCAATTTTTCATGTGTTTAGGAATAACCGGGGCTCTGGCTGGCTAGCTGGCTGGCTGGCTGGCTAGCTGGCTGGCTAGCTGGCTGGCTAGCTGGCTGGCTAGCTGGCTGGCTAGCTGGCTGGTAGCTGGCTAGCTGGCTGGCTGCTGGCTGGCTGCTGGCTGGCTAGCTGGCTGGCTAGCTGGCGGCCGGTTTTTAACGGGAAAACATGGGGAATCACAGACCAAAAATCAAAAACCAAATTCAAATCATTTTCCACATGTGTTTAACTCGGATTTTCGACGATGGGTGAGCAATTTTTCAACCGGGGAAACGGGCCCGCGGTTTATACAGGAATTTTTGACGGGGAAAAGGCTAAGGAAAAGGAAAAGGAAAGAAATTACAAATGATCACATAACGCGAATTTTCGGATGCAAAATTTGGGTAGTTGTGACTTTTTTGAATCAAAATTTCAATTTAGCCGGTCACAATTACCCAAAAAATGAGAAAAATGACTAGCGATAACTAGGGAAAAAGAAAACGGTAAGTTATTGTAAAGTGTGAAGAGAATGTGCTCGACTGCAGCATTTCGGAAGAAAACATTTCTTTATGTGCCCGATACTAACACTTTAAAGTATTCTTTCCACTAAAATGCTTAACCGGGTTTTGCTAGAGGCAAATGGGTTCACGGGGAGAAAAGAAATTCGCCAGACTTTCAAAGATTTCGAAGAGAATTCTCCGAAACAAAGAAAAGGCAATTGAAAAAAAGAAAATAACAAGAACGAAGAAATTCTTTCTCTACAAATGAACATTTTCCGAAATTTTTGGGGGCGCACCCGTTCCTCGAGGACAAGGCCACGTATCATTAGATATACTTAGCAAAGGAAAAGAACAGAAAATGGGAAAGTAGGGGAATTTGTAAGTTTTCAAGAAGAAATGGTACTGCGACTAGTTTAGGTGCAAATTGGAAAGGGTTCTATAAATGCAAACCGACCGCGATACGATCAAATCTGCATTCTAAGAGCTAAAGTAGTCCTTGTCGATGTCGATAACACAGTCAAAGTACCAAAAGGAACAATTTAGCTCAACAACTACTTCAAAAGAAACAACGAAAACAAAAGTTTGGCAAAGAGGCACATATCCATTTTAAGCGGCTAGATATTGACGGAGACGAACAAGGAAAAAAAAAGGGGGGAAAGGGTGCAAAATGTGGGCGAAAATACAAGAAAAAAATACTGTACACTTAAAGTGATGTGATATCAAACGTTTCTCTTCAATTTGTCGCATTCATTCCATTCATTTGTAGTTTCATTTTCATGATGAACTCCTATCGGATCGAGGCTCCGGCGATTCACTTTGTCTCAACATCGTGTACACCGAGTCGACGTCGACGAGTCTGAAAATGAGAGTTTAGTGAATTATCAAGGGTTTGGCAAAATTCTAAAATAATCTCCCTAAAGTTTAGAAGTTAAAAATCTTCGAGTGAGTCACGGTTTTTACACTTTAAAAAGATTAACTCAAAATTTCAAGTTTAGTTTTGACCATGGTGCATAGGTATGGAAAGTTTTTTGGCGGAATTTCAGATCACTTTGACCGAGAAAATGGGTGAAATTTGCAGGGATGTTTAGAAATGGCTGGAAATTAGCCTAGAAAGAGACCAAAGCGTTTCTAGCCGCCCCTGCCCGAAGTTTTCAATCAAGGAATCATGCCCACTGTCCATAACTCATTGATACCGTATGTTCTAGAGGCCATATCTAGATTCGTGATCAACGATAAGCTTTATATTAGATATTACACGTGGAATAATATGGCCGAGTGGTAGTGTTTGGCTCTAGCCACCCGGTCCTGGTTCGAGTCCACTCTGTGGCGAAATTTTTGCATTTTCTTTATATCGACTCTGAGTATCCCCTAGGTGTTCTAAAAGTCCCCCAGAAGTTGCAAACAAATTTCATGGTCAAACCAGGCCATATTGCCTCCTGTTCTCACAATTTCAATTGAATTAATCATCAAAATCCCTCACCTATCCAATAGCGGCAACACCTCGAGTAGCTCTGAATCGTGCGGATCATCAAACCACGTCTGGACGGCAATCTAAAGCAAAAAAATATGGATATGCTTAAAAAGTTGCATAAAATTAGTACCAAAAAAAACTGACAGCATTTTCTGGATGGAAGGCATAGCTGGCCGGGGAGTTGTCCATGATGAGCACCTTGTTGAGATCACGTCCGAGTCGAGCTAGGTCCTGGAAAAATGTGATTTAGATGGTAATAACTCATTCCAATGGAACTATTTTCAAGAACTATCAAGCTACAAGAGCTGAATTACAAAACAATCTTGCAAAAGCCAACCTTGACATAATTTCCTTTATGAAAAACGCAAGCTTCACGGAAGAGTCGAGTTCGGAAGACTCCTCGTTTATCCAACAAATCGGCCACTGGATCAGCATACTAAAAAAAAGACATATTTGAAATGAGGTATTACTGTATCATCATATAATCATCAACTTGATTAAATCAGTCATTTGCTTTAATAGTCTTCAAATTATTTTTTTACATCTTGACATCAAGTATCAAATATCAAACAAAGTAATCACCTTGGCAAGACTGGCCGTGAACAAAACACATTCGAATTTGTCCCCAACATGCTCGAGGAATTCGTCTACAAACGGCCTCTTCAAGACGTATACCTAAAGCGAAAATATGATGATTTATTTACAAGTTGCTAATTTAGCAAAGGCCATTTAGTTATGAAAAATCACCTGATGAATGACGCCGTCGATCTCCACCGGAATGACAAAGTCGGGGTTTTTGACGGGCTAAAGCATGATATTAGTTGGTGGATAAAAGTAGTGAACTTTCTCAACGAAATGATTAAAATGAGTGTTCTATTTTTGTTTAGCTTCAAATTTCAATAAGCTTGCAGATTAGACATGGGTTTCGATTTCGGATCAAACCGAACCAAACTATGTCGAGTAAGTACCGGGGCCTAGTATAACAGCACTACTATGTAGTACTATCTACTATGACTAGTTCTGAGCATAGACAAATCCCAGTACTAGAGAAATCCCAATTTATTGCAAATGCAAATTGAACCAATTCTGAAACTAATATTTGAGCAAAAACGGGCAAAACGGGCTTTTAGTAACTCTAGGTTCGATTTTTTTCAAATAAATTACATCATTGCTTTAGAATCGATTCAGGTTATTTCCTTATTGTAAAACCAACCTTGAAAGACGAATGAACGAGCGTTTCATCCAAATCGATGATCAAACATTTCTTGTGCACATCTCGGCGTTGCAATGGCGGTAGCAAAAGTTTGTCTCCGGCTGGCTGAAAAGAAAAGGCATTGATTAAAAACAGTATGTAAACATTTATTGTTTGTTGGGTAACTTTTCCAACTCTAATAATCAGCATTTTGAGAACAATTTGTTTTGCTTTGCTATGCTTTCCTTTCAGCTTTCAGAGAGAAAGTTCATTTTTTACCTTTCTCCTCCCGATCAATCCCATTCTCATGATCTCCGCTACAGATGGGGTTCTGCCCGGTGCAATCACCAAATTTGCCAAGTAAAACGCCGGGTCTTTCAGCGAGTCGAATTGCTCCGAAAAGGTCGATCGCGAGTTGAGAAAAACGTTCCGCCGTCGTGCCAGGGAACGCATTTCTTGAAATTCACGAAGTCAACAATAACAAGAGAGCTACAAGAGTGTTAGTGGACAAAAAACAAAAAAAAATGTGGTAGTAACCGGCTATATTCAGTGTTGTTCATTGAATACGACCGGATAACACCTAAAATATATCAAAGAGCTACCTTTCACAGTCTTAAAACATCTTGCTACTCTTGATTCAACCCTGGGAAACGAGAATATGACATGGTAAGCTTGAGTGTATTCGATCGAATCCTCATCATCGGGAACTCGATCAATCGGAGATCTGGGGGTCAGACGAATAAATACATTCTCTTGCACAGGTCGTGTAACAATTTTTCGATGATTTCTAGGCGTAAACAGTGTCGGAATAGCAGAGAAAATAGGGGATTGATCTCTCGATGGACCGTTTGAGGTACAAGGTGACAACGACGCTTCCCGATTGGGAAAGGTACGCCGTCTGCGAATCGGATGTCTTCCACGGTCTTCGGAGAAAAAGTTCCATGCCAAATTTTTGGGCGTACAGAAGATTGGCTTACCGGGTGATTGGGATGTGGTGGGAATAGCCGTGGAATGAATCACAAAGCTTGTGCTTAGGAATTGCGTCAACGATGGCGGCCGCATCGTGCAGGCCATTTCAGAAATCGAGTGTAGTCAATAGGTGAGAGCCTCAAATAAAAACCTCAAAATATTTGGACTCAATAGATGAAAACAATGACTTCGTGTAGAGTGACACTGACAACTGATTTCCAAGAATAACAAGGAACTCCTCGAAAAAAACAATCAATCGAAGAATCGCAAAGCGAACGCCCAAATAGACAACGAAGAAACGAGAAGAAAACGTCCCAATTGATCCGGCTCACTTTTCAAGGCACACAGCTTTTTTTTCTTCGGGTTCACTCATGCCAGTCTGTTGGTGGTGATCGGTTGGAGGAAAAAAAGAACAGAGATGCCAGAAAGAAGAAAGGAAAGGTGGGAGAAAAAAGAATAATGATCGGAAGGAGGAGTTGAAGAGAAGAACTTGTTTGAAGGCGACGACAGCTGCTTCTCCTTAGACCTTATGGCCGGGGGGCAAGGTAGGGCGTAAAGTGCAAAAAGTCAAAGACCGGTGAGAGGGAAATTTTTGACTCATGCTCTCCCCGGGTCCTTTTGATTGTGACGTATCACACGGCATATTGCTTTTCGCTTTTAAACCAAGCGATTCGAGGAATTTCTATGGGTTACTCAGGGGTTAAAGGAAAAAGGTGACAGCGCAAAACTGAACAGGAACTTCAAAGAGTTTATCGAACAAACGCGTTACTCAATTTGACTTGGAAATCGACTCAAAGTAAAGTAAAGCTCAAAAGGGATTAGAACAAAACTCTTTAAAAAGTGAAATTGAGCCAAACGAAGAACCAGCACATTTGCTCTGCACCCCCTTTCGTCTAGATGAGACTGGATTGAGATTTAATCTTCAGAAAGACTTGACAAAAAAGAATCGAAGATCGATTTCATTCGTTTTTTAGAGAAACGAACTGTGTTTAGACCTATACGAAGAAGTAAACATAATCGATAACACTAATAAATTTCCAGCCAACAAAAAAAATGCTAATCAGAAAAAGAGCAAAATGAAACAAAAGAGCTGCCGAAAAGAGACACAAAAGCGAAAATATAGATAACTAGCTGACTGTGTAGATTTCCAAGATTTTAAGCCTAGTCTACTGAAGCTTTTGGGGAGAATATCTACCTAAAATTGTTTAACAATAGAGATTGCTGTGAATAAGTCTATCAAAGTGAACTTCTATTCGAGTAGTTATGTCGGTTTCTAGACCTGAAAAAATATGAACAAGTCACAATTCTTTAGAGCGCATAAACAAAAATTCATTGCCGAGCTTCAACCAGCCTCGCATTTGGTTCTAAATTGGAAATGGCTCACGCGTCAACACAAAGAAGAATCGCTCAAACGACAGTTCCACAAATAATTCAAAAACGGGGACAAAGGGACAACCGTGAAAACGACTGGGATGAGCTAGAAAGGCAAAAAAAAAAGAAATGGATTCGAGCCGGATTTTTCGTGTGTCAATGGAAATGAAATAAAGAAAAAGCACAAAAGGCTTATGAATAATTCATGTGGTTAGTTGAATGCACAGAAAAAGACAAGCTAAACCTTAGTTAGAACGTTAAATCTGAGGTAGAAATGACAAAATTTTCAAAATGCTTCTTCCCAGCTCTTTAAGATACTTAAGTATTCCAGCTGGTTCCAGCTGGAGTAGTTGTTAAATCACCTAGTTTTCAAACTTTACTCATTTCTTTCCCACCTCGTCGCCACTCAATATTTGACCACCTCCACCCTCTCTTTAATCTATCACCCGAGTAAAAATCAAATAGAAAAAAAAACGAGAGTTTCCGCCGAGTTCAACAAATACTCGATACACCAAATATGAGAAAAGTATTTCTTTCAACACGGGGAAAGCAAATTGTTCTCAAAGTTTGAGCCAAATCGATCGTTTGAACGTTTTGACTTTCAAATTTAATTCATTTAATCATTATAAGTTTTAAAAATACCCTGAGATTCTCGAAGAACGATTGGAGACTTCCTTGACTGACTTGCGCTACCGGACTCCCGTTTGGTGACAGTTGATGCGCTTGTTGATGAGCCTAAAGTTTGCACTTAAAGTTTTCAAATTAAATATTCGAATTGTCAAGCTTGATTTGCTCAATTCCATTAACTCACCTTAATGATCGAAGCCGATTCGGATTTTTGTTGCTCGGTGGGAAGTGGTACGGTTATCGTTCCATCTTTGTTCACCTAAACGTTAAATTGATAGAAGCGTGAAAGTTTTAGTTGGTGCTTCAAAGTCGAACTCAAGAACTTAACGTTATCAGTGGACAAACCTAGCACCCTGTTTTCATGGTAATACATGAACTCGCTTCATGACTCGACTCTGGTTACGTTTAAACACCATTTACACACTCACCTGTGTAATCAGCGACTCGAATCCCTTGCTATTCCTGTGCTGTGATGCTGGAGTGATCGAAGCAGTTGGGAGAGTTGTCGGCTTTTGCGGGGTGGGCGACGTGGGAGCGGCACTAGGACCTCCAATTACCGGCACCAGCGGCCCTCGATTCGTGCGCACTGGCTCTGAAAAAGGATAAAATTAGTAAACTTTCACAACAGAATTCATATGAGACTAATTTTATTCTACCGCAATACATGTACTCTCTTACAGTTGTACTTTTAAAAGTTTTAGCTGTTCAGAAGCATGCTACATAAAGTAACCCTGATCAGTAAATATTTTTGTAATAAAACAAAATTTTCGACGGTAAATATGAGGGTTTCCGTTCAAACATTACAGCATCAGACATGAAATTTAACAGTGAACCATCGTTCTTGCACTAACACACCGATTTCCTGTTGTGGTGCCATGCAGCAACAAAACGATTGCATCCATCGACCCCATCTCGGCGGTTTGCTTCTCGACGAGTTGGATTGTCGCGATTTCTCTGAAAAAAATAAATAATTTAGATTATAAATAAATTTTTTGAGAAAGATAGCTTAAACCACTTTCAAACCAACCAAGAAATTCTCATGCCCATTTTATCTCTAAACTTAACCGCTGAACTACCTCTTGTTACGATTTTTTTTCATCCCAAACCTTTAAAATAATGAGGGGGCGTCGAGTGCCTAATCTGTGTGATAGTCGGATCGCTTTTCGTCGTCCAGATCCCACTGGTCACATTTTCGCGATGCATTTTCCCGTTCATTTCTCCATTCTTAGGAGAATGTTGTTGAATAGGTTGTTTCACATGATAGGAATTCTCAGGAACAGTCTTTTGTTCATTTCTCGAATAGATGGGTCGTGGGTAAGCTTTAGAGACAGAATGAGCTGCAATGGGTGCTGGTACATTCTGATAGACGCCAATCGGACTGCTTTGTCTAGGCAATCCTCGTGGTGGCATTTTGGGAGATCCTTGGGGTAAAGATAAAGGAAATGGTTGAAATTGTCGTCGTAATGGCTGCTTTTTGTCACTTTCGGCTCTCTGATAATCCCAGTACTGATTCTGTGGTTGCTTGTATCCGGGTGGCGGTGTTTTCTCCTTGATCCAATACTTCTCATTCATTCGGTTGCCATTGTGTGGCTGCTGTTGCAGCGGGGCTGCTCGCGAATCCAAAAATACCATTAAACAGTGAAATGTCGATACTTAATGCTGATACTGAATGGTGAACTTCTCGAAAATAACAAATCAGATCGATAGTACAAGTTCGGCCAATTACAGATCGACCGAAACAATGTAAACAGGTAGCGATCGGGTGAAAAGTGACGGACAGTCGTCGGGATTTCAATCAATCGACAAAGTTCGAAAAAAGGGCGCAAAGGGTGGAAAGGGGAGAGAAGGGGATTGAAAAGAATGGCATATGATGGACTTCGAGACGAAAAAGAGAGTGAGAGTCAATGCCGAGAGTCGGAATTGAAAAGGGTGAGTTGAAAAGAGGGGTCAAAGGGTAAGAGTTGCAGGAGAAAAAGAGAAATTTCTCCCTTTTCCACACAAAACCAGACCTTTCACCGATCCACACACAACCCACAGGCAGACCCTGGCCCTCTCCACAACTTTTCCACCACCACTACCAGCAGCACAAATAGGCTCAACGTTTGCGGCTGCCTCGGCACACCACTTACGAAACTTTTTCCTCTCTTTCGAATCACTTGGAGCCAAAAAGTCAATATAACAGATTAATATAGGGTAATCTGTCAAAAATAGTCTGCTCCTGAGAAATTGATTGTTGAAAGCAAACAAAATGGATATCAGGGTAATAGTTTCCAGTGAGTTGCTCAAAAAGCAATATCAAATCGATATTTCTTCGAATATTCCGCGAAAAGAGTTTAGTCGCAAATGTTTCACACCTGAAACGGTAAAATTCGATTAAAGTAAGAACAACTACAAAAACCAATTCTTCGGCAGAAAAAGCAAAAATGAGGAAGTGGAATGGCCAATTCACGCTTCGATAGGTCAACTTTCTTAAACCAGGAAAAGCCGGAGGAAATGGAAGAGATCTTTAAAAAAAGAAAAAACTTTTGCCAACACCACTTCTCAAATGATTTAAAATCTTTTTGAAGATTTTAGAAAAATCACTTACAATCTGGTGCGACAAACGACAAAATACCCATTCTTGAATCAAGAAGGGAAATCTTTTTGCAAACATCACTTCTCAAATGACGCGATCCCTTTTGAGAAATGACAATGATTAAAAATACACGGTAAACGATGATTTTAGAGTGTAATTTTGGAGTGGATGGGGTCACATGGGGAGAGGATGGCTGATGAATACACACAACAAGAAAAAGAAAAAGAAAGCCAAAGACGAGCCCGTGTTTGTTTTGTGCCTTTCGGTGAAAAGTTTCGAAAAACAACCAAAGAAAGGGAAAGTTTTTTTTGCGAATTCAATATTTTTAGCCGACCAGGAATAGAATTCGCAAATTTCGTCTCAAAAAAACGTAGTGATAATCTTAATCCCTAGGAAAACCCTTTTGCATAATAAAGGTGTTACCACGACAACATCAAGTAGTAAAAGTGGACTTTTGGGTAACTAAGTCATTGCTAAGTAAAGTGAAAAATATTATCGAGGGTAAATATTTTGTCCAAATCAGTCACAAATTTGTTTTTTTTTTGTATAAAAGCATTGAGTCACAAATTCGAATTTCCGGTGGGATCTATAAAGTTATTTCCGAAGCTAATATCGGCAAAAATTTGCTTGAATGTAAACGTACAAAAAAATTTAAAGACCTCAACAACTTACAAGAGAATTGCTGCAAAAAGCTAAAGCCAATACGATTTTTATGATTGATTTGTTAAAGCAGTGTTTTTAAGCTCTAGGCTTGCAAACAAAGCCATCAAGAATCCAATACAATACTAGTAAGTCAAAAATAGTTGGATCATATGTCTGCTTAAGAGTCCACCAAAAAAAACTAGCTGTCCCATATCATGAAGACCAACTTGGAGAGTCCCAAAGAGAAACAGGGATCCCCAAAAAAAAGAGAGAGAAGCCGCCCGACTGCCAATATCGGCAGGTGGTTTACACTGAGATTGGCGGGGAGAGAAGAGGCGAGAAAACTCACTGGAAACATGAATAAAGAATGTATTGGATAGGAGGAGAGAGATTGAGAAAAGAATGGAAAAAGAGATAGAAATGAGGAAAATGTGAGTGAATGAATGGATTGAGGTAGGGGAGTACGTTTCTTAACAATTTCTCTTGTAGGAAGATCATTTGAACCGAGGCAATGGGGTGGTATCGGGAAACTATTGAAAATAGCTTTCTTCGAAAAGCTACAGTAATATCTACGATCGAGGAAACTGGGTTCGTATTGCCAAAAGTCTAAACCTTGTATAAAAGAAAAAAACCTACTAAACCCTAACAAAATCTCACCCACAAAGTGGCTTCATCACTTTTACTGACAAGTTGCAAAAAGCAATCAAAAAGCTCAGCAAATGAGAAAACCCCGTCAACAAGAAAGCCCAAGCGTTTTCGCAATGAAAATATTTGAAAAATTTCTTCCCAATGAGACAAGCGAGGAGCAAAACACGAAATGGTTAGCGAAGAGGCGAGAAAAATCGTTATCCCGATGAGCGATTGGGTGGTGAGGAAGAGTGGGAAGATGAGCCAAAAAAATCCAGTCTCAAAAATCTCTATCTCTTCACATATCCACTTATCGTTTTTCTCCTTTTATCAAAGCAAAACGATCAGCAGTGTGGAAGTTGGAGTTTTTTTGCCCCCATCAGCCACAACTATCGGTCTTCTTCTTATTCGGCACATGGCTGATTGAGAGGTGAAAAATATGTGATTCGATTCGCGCAATCCATCTAATAAAGTCTCTAGGTTAAAATAACGCCGGATATCCAAGAACAATCCTGCAATTAAATGCGAATTTAGTTTGATCTTCTACAGCTGAAGAATCTAAAGGCAACAAGTAGGATACCTTTTTGACTGAAATATCAAGAAAAGCTAATTTTAAATGTAAATTCGAGTTGATCCGATATAGCTGTTTCCGGAAAAAAAGCAAGTATTCGTGCAAGACTTGGTCGTTGCTCAAATGATCTATACCGAGTTGGGTTGAAAAAGTTATTTTCCAATGAATCTGTTGTTTGAACAAGGAAATAAGAGCCAGGGCATCAGATTGCAATTGGCAAAATTTTAACTTTAAGCCCAAAAATTGTTTTGGAGCTTTTTGAGCATTCAAAAAGCCTCAAGTCTGTCCTTTGATGGAACTCTCCCCCAAATCAGTCAATAACCAGTTCCATTAAGACTCCCGATGGCAAGCTGATGGGAAAGTGATCAGAAAGCAACGATTAAAAGGGTTTCTAACAAGGGGGCACTTTCTTTTTCGAGATTTTCATTTTTCTTTTAACAAGTTTCTGGGGTACTCATCAAGTTTAGTCGTGTTTAATTTGGTCATACAATTCATGCTGAATAAAAGCTTAACATAAAAAGAAATCTTTGAATCTTTTGAAAAACTCGCATTTTCCGGGCACTTTCTGGACACAAAAACGCGGCATTGGATGCTTTTGAGGGTTCATTCATTCAAACGAAGCATTCAAGTTTTTGGATGGTGATTTTCGGATTCTAAGCAAAAAGTTACCCTAGAATCACGAAAATTTTTCCTTTAAACTCCAGAACTTGCATGCGAAATGGCAAAAATACGTTGTTTGTTTTTCATTGCTTTTCTGGGGGTTGAGAAAGTCAATTTTTAATCCGCAAATTTATGTTAAAAATGCTATTTTCGTGATCAGCGTCCGCGATTAGCCCAGAAAAATCAAAATCTCGAAAGAAAAGTTCAAGAGCATCCAGATGATGACTTTGAAGCTTTAAGTGTAGCCAGACAAAAATAGTTCTAGCTATCACCTTTCCTAAACACGTTGTCTCTTTCTCGACGAGTGAGCGCCAAAAAAAGTGAGTCAATAGAATTACCGGGTGAATGGCCATTGAAGGGAAGAGAGTAAAAAGAAACAGGGGAATAGGGGAACTTTTCTCGATTTTGCCAAAGAAAGATGAAATCGAGTGCAATATTTTGTGCGAATAGATACGCCGAATGGTTATGTAGGTGCTTAAAATGAAACAAGAGCTGCGCTGACACTGACAACGTTAGATTTCGATTAAACTTTATGTTTGATTGATGCTTGAATATCTCAAGAAACTCGATAATCCAAACATACAGAATCAACATTATAATCTTAGATTGCAACAATTTTAGCCGATTTCAAGCAGCTTTCGTAAAACGAACATGAAAATTCGTAATTTCTTTTTAAAGTTTGAGGCATGAGAATCTCTCGTTTGCTTATTGCAAGTTAAAAGTTTAGTTTAGATAAGCAGCAACTTTAAGTTTTCCTCACCTTTATCCTTTTTCTTCTTCCTTTTCCCGTTCAGTTTTGTGGCCGGAGTTACGTAGTCCTCGTGCTCGAAGTCATCACGGGGTATCTAAAATTAATCAAACTTAAGTGGCGATCACATTAAGCTTATAACCAACTTAACAGAAGCTGTACTCCAACAAGTTTAACATTTCAATGCCCTAAACACTTCTAGTAATCAATACACTTGTTCCCCTATTTTCCACTTTTCAGCAAAAATAGCTCGGCATACGTGTCATCACTTCAAGGTCACCCACCAACCATTGCCCAACCACATAGCGACAGAAAAATTTGAAAGAACACATGAAAAAAAGTGGAGGGGTTTACGAGCGGGTTGAATTTGCGCAAAGTGTTAACAAATTTCAGGAGGAGGTCAACTTGAAACTAAACAAATACGGAAGTAAACTTTGAACAGCGTTTTTTTTTTTGCGAGAAACCTGCTTATGATGCTTATTGCTATATTGCTTATAATGTCAAATGCTTAAGAGAAAAACGACTGCTGTAGAAGCTCGTAAACTTAAATTTGAATTGCGTAGTGGCAACCAAGAGTATTACATGTTTAAAACGAAAAGCAACTTTTTGATCGAGGCTTTAAAAGGTGGAACAACAATTTCGGTACTTTGTTGGTTTGGAGGGACCATTTTTATCCTGACTTAGTTAGATCTAATATTTGGAGTGGTTGTATTGATACATTTTATCTACCTATTCTAGGGTAATCAAATATGCTTATACTTTTAGAGCATTTACAACATGTTTCAAGTTTCATATGGCTGCTTTTATTTGATTTTCAAGTGTAAGCAACTTTGAGGTAGCGTTTGGTGGTTAAAGGCTAAAATGAGATTACGAATTGTCAAAAACTTGCTAAAATAGTCACCAATCTATTAAGCATTTTGATTATCCTAGAATACATAGAAGGTATCAATACAACCACTCAAAATATTAGATCCAACTAAGCCAGGATAAAAGTGGTCCCTCTCAACCACAATTTCAAAATAATGAGCTTCTAAAACAACCGTTTTGCTAACATTGATCTTGGTTAAATAGGTGAATAAGGATTTGGCTCGAAAACATTTTTTGGGTTTATTTTAGTTCCAGTAACCGTATAGAGCACAAATAAAACAAATTTAAGCGCCGGAACCATTTTTTTTAGCAAGAAAACTGCAGAGCTTTACAAAATTTACTTTACGTCTTACACACAATTTTTAGATCAGATAGTTTTTGTGTTGGGCACAAAAAATACTAACCGATTGAGCTAGTCGCTGTGTCCAACACAAAAACTATCAGATCTCAAGTTTATGTGCAAGACGTGAAGTAAATTTTGTAAAGCTCGCAAGTTCTCTTGTTCTCTTGCTGAAAAACATGGTTCCGGCGCTTAAATTTGTTTTATTTGTACTCTATACGGTTACTGGAGTTAAAATAAACCCAAAAAAATAGGTTTCAAGCCAAATCTTTATTCGCCTATTTTTCCTTGATCTTTAATCAACGTGGAATACTATTTTCAACACTGAAAGCGTAAGTCTATAGGCGACTGTTCTAATCCACCCATCAACAACTTAAACTTGCCTGTGTGATAACATCTCCAGCCGTCATTCTCCTCGCAATCTCGGGCTCGTTTCCGCTTTTCACCGTCAAAATGTCGAGTCACTTCTTCCGAATCGGTCTGGAGTCTGGAAATTTCAAAGATCTGATCAAAAATTGAAACGAAAAGAAATTAAAGCCGAACGAAACTTTATAACAAGTCAAAAATAGGAATTGGCAAATATTTTCGAGAAAAGCCGCGTGAAAAATGCGAGGAAATCGGAAACCCGTGTGAGGCTAAAATCTCGGCAAATTGCCGCTTCAAAAGAAAACCAAAACCAAAAACAACTCTAATAGGTTCGTTTTTATAAGTGAACATTAAAAAATGAGTGTTTTGAGGGATAGAATTTTCAAAAAGCTTTAAATAAAGCTTGAAGTGGTAGATTTTTGCATAAGTTTCCCAAAACAATCCTTAAAGTGTTTTAAAGTTTAGAATAAGCTAGAATAAGCTAGAATAAGCTAAAAAGTTATAGATTTCGATATTTTAAGGGGGAGAAAGTGGTTTTACGCAAAAAATCAAGCTTTACAAGGTAGATTTTCGTTATTTTAGGAATCAAGGAGCGGTTTTTTTTGTACAAATCAAGCTTAAAGTCATAGATTTTTGATCGTTTAAGGAAAAGCACGCAGCCATCAATATTTTCTGGGTAAAAAATGCAGCGGGGTAAAATTTTTAAGTTCTTATCTTTTTGGGAAAAAGTTTGTGCATAAAGAAATGGGAAAGACAGTGAAAATCTCCTCAAAAAGCGCTTATCAACAACGCGGCAACCATTTTGAGAAATTTTTGGATGGATTGACAGAAAGAGAGAAAATATATGAGAAAAGCTTTAGAAAATCATGAAAACGATAAACAAATGGAGGGAATTGACGTGAGGAAAGTTCGAAAGATAGAAAAAAGTGGATAGATTGGATGAGAGGACCGCTTAAAGGGACGTAGGGACGTAGGGACGTATGAAAGGACAGCTTAAAAGCATCGAAACATAGAAGCTTGTTGAATTGCTGTAGCTAAGCGCAAGTTTTAGACTTTTAGCTATAGTAGATGGATAGATTGGATGAAAGGATCGGTTAAAGGGCATCGAAACGTAGAAACGTATGAAAGGACAGCTTAAAGGGCATAGAAACATAGAAACTTATTGCGGTAGAAACATAGAAACTTGTTGAATTGCGGTAGCTAAGCGCACGTTTTAGACTTTTAGCTATAGTAGATAAGTTATAACATATCCAATTCCCAATTCGACTCAAATCCCCAATCTTAAACCTCAAACAAGCGCTTGAACCTCGAAATCAAGCGGAACAGCTGTTTGAGAAAAGAGAAAAGAGCCGCAATAATAAGAAATCCTATAGAACAAAGAAATCCCTATGTAAAAACCCAAGACAAGCCAGACAACCAATCAGATCACAAGAGAGAAAATGAAAAAAAGCGGGTGAAACAGCTGAGCTTGAGATTCTCAAAGTACAAAGAATGAGTTTAGGATAAAGAAAACAACGATTTAGCATTTCGAGGTGATAAATGATTGATTACAATAGTTTTTAGTTGAAAAGCAAGGTAAAAGCAAGGTAACAACAAGGTAAAAGCAAGGTAGCAGCAAGGTAACAGCAAGGTAACATCAAGGTAACAGCAAGCTAACCTTTGTAGAAGTGATTCAAGCGGCACTTTTTTAGAATAACCTTGAAAGCGATTTGGATTCGATTGAATAAAGAATTATTGACCAATTTGTAACACTATCCCCCAAAAAAACCAATATTTCACTATAAAACGTGGGGCAGCTGTTGGTCATTGAGAAAAATCAAATCAAATCCAATCAAATCCAATCCAAAATCGCAGTCATGATATCAAAAGAGTGTGTGTGCCGAGTGTTGATGACGCTACACATCTCACGCCTTTTCATTGGGGGAAAAGGGTGAAGGACAGGCGGAAATGGGCCCTATCAAAAGAATCGGAAAGAAAATGAGCTAGTGCAAAAAAAAAAGTGGAAAGGGTGAATGTTTGGACAACCCGTGAACACCCTGAATGGCGTTTAGCTGGTGAAGCTGGCATTTAGCTGGTGAAAGATCAAGCTGGGTCTGGTTCTTTGAGGGGTACTTTGTGCTCGTATAAGCACATCCTTTCTGATGAATGCAATTGAATGAATCAAAATAGGAACCGTATTGGAATCGTATTAGATCAAAATAAGAACCGTATTAGATCAAAATAGGAACCTTATTCCTATTCACTAACCAGAGATCTATGAGCAAAACTTCACCAGATTTACACAAAAAGACGAAAAGAAGCGAAAAGAAGCAAAAAAGAAGCAAAAACAGCAAAATGAGGTCACCTTGAAACTTGGTTGAAAACAAAATCTCGTAGAAATCGATTAAAAACGAAGAGAAGTACATTGAGGAAAAAAAACGAAGAGAATTACATTGCGGAAAACGCTGATCAATCGGTAAAATGAAAACTGATGAGCAATTTGTCTCTCAAAAGTTGCTTTTGAATGAGCAGTGATGAATTGTTGGCTTGTAAGTCTGGGTCTGGGGCTTGCAAGTCTAGAGCTTGTAAGTCTAGAGCTTGTAAGTCTAGAGCTTGTAAGTCTAGAGCTTGTAAGTCTAGAGCTTGTAAGTCTAGAGCTTGCAAGTCTAGTCTAGATCCGAAATTTCATGGAGCTAGGAAACCTTCAACTAGCAAGCCTGGCTCAAGCTGTATTCTGCCCAGGATCCAGGAACAGACACGGCTTCTAGCTGCACGTGCTTGTGGGTCAAACCCAAAGCCAAAATCCAGGAGCTGGTCTTAACCTGGTCATACTCAGGTCCGGAAAAACCCTGAAAGCTCAGTCAGATCCACGTCAGGGTAGACAAGTTTGTCGTCAAGTCAAGACAAGTCAAATAATGGTCACAAATGGTTATAATGGGTGAATAGAGCTTTGGTTCCTATCCGATTTCTAGGATAAACTACGATTGAGTAACAATCATGGCGGCTTAAGCAGTCTAACTTCAAGCACTTTCCGACAAAACAAAGCTCTAACTTAAACCAATAACTTTTTACGAATCAAGAAACCTTTTAGAATGCCTTGTATACGATTCTTTCACACACAATACGTTCGCAATACATTTATCCAATTGCAATACAATTCTAAAGGTACTAAAGACTAAGAAATTACGCGCAAAATGTGGCAATGTAACGAGATAAAGCATAAAGAAACAAAAGCAACAACAAAAGCATAAAAAAACAAATCAACAACATAAAGAAATCCAAAAAGCGGTAATGGGAAAGGAGAAAAGTGCAAGTGATCTTTTTTTTGGCGAGAAAGAAAAACTTTTGCGACAAGGGAGCACTGTTTAGGAAACACAGAGAAAACAAGTGCGAAATAGAATTGACGTTTAGGATAGGCCAAGCTCCAGATACAGCTACGGTTTCTAATTGCGCAAGTAGATCAAGTTAAAGTCCAAGCCAGATCTAGACCAAGTTAAAGCCCAAGCCAGATCTAGACCAAGTTAAAGCCCAAGCCAGATCTAGACCAAGTTAAAGTCCAAGCCAGATCTAGACCAAGTTAAAGCCCAAGCCAGATCTAGACCAAGTTAAAGTCCAAGCCAGTCTTAGGAGAGACAAGTTTACAGTAACATATATATCTAATTAGCTTAGCAAGCCAATATCAACTGCAAGAAATTCTTGTGTTCAGGTGACGCCTCAAAAATTCAAAAAACAAACACACAAGCGCTTTGAGTGTGGAGTGAAATGGTGAAAATGGGGAAAAGATCGATAGATGGCACAGTCATTCAAAAAAAATGGGCAAAAAGGAAAGAGGAGGGGGATTTTACAAAAGATTGAAGAGTAAAGCTACAGCTAGGAAAGACGAAAGGTAAAGCTACAGCTAGCAATTTGTAAATGGACGCTTTAGAAAATCGATTTTACTCAAAAAAAGAGAAATTGTTGAAATTGTTGAAATTTGCTTCTTTTATCTGCTATTTGATGATTTAAAAGAGAAGAGAAAAAAGAGAAGAGAAAAGCGTGAGTCAAAAGGAAAAGTAAAAGAAAAGAAGTCATTGTACATGAAGAGTGACCTCGTGGGGGGGATGATTTCACTGTCTTTTTAGAAATTTTCGATCAGCTCTCTTTCTAAGTCTAGTTCCCTTTCACTTTATCGTAATCTTATCTATATTTTTATTTACCCAAATTTTCTGTAACGGTTCACAAACGATTTGAAAGATACAAAAAACAAAAATGGATTGATGGGACACAAATGGATTGAAGGTAACAAGGGAGTTCAACTGGCGAGAAAACTGACGAACAGTTGATGTCGATTAGTTGATAGGCAGTTGATAGCAACATTAGTATAGCTTTATATATAGAAAGCTGTGCCAGATGGAATGCGATTGAACGAACAGATGGAGCGCACAACGCACAAAGACTACTAGTCAGCATTTCTTGAAAAAAGGCAAAAGAAAAAGCCAGTGGGACTCGAACCCGGGAGGTCTCGCTCTGGAAACGAGAGCGCTACCACTTGGCCACAGCTCCAACGAAAGCGGTCGGCAGGGAGACCATTAAGACTCGAATGACGACATTTCCAGAGCCCTAACAAAGTCCTAACAAAACTTTAGAGGCTTATAACTATTGGTTAAGAGATATGGCCTTGGTTAACAGTTACGGTTATAAGAGATATGGCCGAGCGGTAGAGCGTTCGTTTCTAGAGCGGGGGGTCCCGAGTTCGATCCCGGCTTCGGGTTTTTGATTTTGCCTTTCTTTCTTTCTTTTCAAGAAGTTCTTCTGTTCTTCTTGTGAACTAATGTTCTTTGTGTGCGCGCACACGTATTCCAACTGGCACATCGCTTTCCATATAAAGCCATAAGGTAATGTTGATCAATCGCCATTAACTGAACTAAATTTGGTCCGCAAGGTTCACTAGGCCACTAGGCCTCCATGTCGACCAAATTACCACATTTCCAGAGTCCTAACAAAACTTTAAACGCTTATAACTCTTGACAGCTTGTCATCAGCAAAAACGGGATATATATTCGGAATCAGGATCAAATTCGACGTC